CTACCACGCCCGGCTGATTTTTTTATTTATTGTGGAGATGAGGTCTCGCTGCCCAGGTGGGTCTCGAACCCGCAGGCTCAGGCATTCCACTCTCACCTCAGCCTCCCAAAGGCGCAAGATTACAGGCTGAGCCACCAAGCCCGGCTTATAGTTTTCAATGTATAAATCTTTCACCTTCTTGGTTAAGTTTACTCTTAGTATCCTTTTCTTTTTTACACTATTATAAATGGCATTGTCTTCTTAGTTTCTTCTTTGGGATTATTCATTGTTAGTGTACAGAGATACAACTGATTTTTGTGCAGTCATATATTTTGTAAAGGTAGACTTCTGTACAAACATAAAAATATACAGCATACATTATTAAATAAAAACAAGTACATATTTATAGTAATTCAATGAGTCCATTAATATAAATAAAATCTGTGTACATTTATATACTACTCCTCTATAAAATAAGCTATTTTTCCCTATTTACTCTGGGCCACAATCCTGCCTTGGAAAAGGGAACTTTTCTATTTCTGTCTCACATTTCTTCAGTTATTCTCTCCTAGAAAATTATTTTCACTTGTTCTATATCATATGTTCTCACATTATTTACACTTTGTTATAATCATGCCCAAATGCACTAGATCTTAATTTGAAGTATATAATTTTCACTTTTATGATGAGAAAGAGTTTTGACAATAAGATACAACAATCAATAGCTCCTTTAAACAAATCCAAAATGCCTTTGTAGGGCAATAAAGAAGGAGGGAGAGTTATATTACTCCCTGGGAATAGCTAGATCCTACATTATCAAGTTCATGCTGGAATCATTCATCCATGCTGATCAAAGGATCTTGCTGGGGATTTTCTGATGCCATTGTGTTCATTAGGAATCCTGAAGTCTGGGATGGGAGGCCAAGATCCATTTTGTTTTATATCGTGTTCATGCTGGAATCATCCATGTGAATAGAAAAGTGAGTACAGGCATTTCCAGGGACCTCTTTGTTCATCTGGGTACCAAGGGGCCACATTGGTAGGTCTTTCATTAATTTCCTTAGAGTACTTGTTTTCAGTCCTGCTTGACTCTCTTTCTGGAGATGCAGATATATTTCAATACAAATCTTAAACTGTGTGGTTAGTAAACTTATTCTCATATAAAGGACAAAATTTTTTATTTAATAATTAGATCTATTAAGTTTTACTCAAATAATCATGGTAGTTAAAATATCTTCTAGACTGAGTTCATGTTTGAAATGTACCTTGGCTGTCATTACAGAAGATTTTTGTCTTAATATGCTTTGCATTTGCTGCTGGTTAAGAATAAAGATATGAGATTCTGAATTATAATATCTGACAGACTAGTCCCAAAAGACTGTGTTCCCCATCTTAATGTCTCATGTAAGTTCTGTTCTCACCATTGTTAGAAACATATATATTGCCAACAAGAGGATAGCCAAATATATGGCTTATCTATATCAACACTAGATAATAAAGCAGCTACTCAAAATTATGACCTGAAGATTATGTAACAGTATGGGACAATGCATATGATCTAAGTTTAAATGACAAGCAAAAATATCATATGTATAAAAATTGATCTTTTAATGGAAAGAAATATACCATAATTTTAATAGTTGGTTGTGTGACGTTGGTGGCTTTGGATTGTCTTTTTTTTTTTTCCAATTTTTTCTAATGTGAGTATAGATTGATATAAAATACTTTTAAGTGTATGGCCAATATGGAGCAGAATGTGTTTACTGAGCTAGTGTAAGGTAAGATAATGATACCCTAATTTTGTATTCACAATTATATATATATTTGTCAGTTTCTGTCTTCCTTTACCAATGAGTTCATATCTTAGGTTACCTTTGGTTATGACTTATTTATGGATAAATGAATTTATATAATTTGCTCTTCTTAAGCAATATATAAAAATATATAAAGAAAAGATAAGTTGTGCTCTTATATTATGAGATACAAACAGTCTGTCAAAATATTTTTGCCTTCTACATATAATAAAACTTCAGTCCTTTGTGAGTAGGATTGCCTTTGAAAATAAAGTTTGCTGGGAGTGGGGAATAAGGAATAAGTTCCAGATTTTGCTGGATAAATAAATAAAGTGATTAGAGTTGAAGATTGCTTGCTCTTTTAGTAGTTAAAAAATATATACTGTTAGAATGAAACTTAGAAAATATTTGTGAAAAATATGTACAATATTTTTGTACATATTTTATTTTTGTGTAATTGGTTTGAAGTAAGTAAACATGCATAGGCTTACTATCATGTGAAGATAGTTATAAATATTATTAATATTTATTACTGTCCACTGTTATCAGTGAACAGGCACGAAAGGATAAACTGGAGCCAGATCACTTGTGTTTAAAACCTGGCTATACCTCTCTTGTAAAACTTCTGTAAACATTCTTGTACAACTTTTTATGTACATGTGCTTATTTTGGTAAGGTAAATATCTAAATGACATTGCTGGGTCATAGGGAAGTTAAAGTTGATGAATATTTGCTAGACTGATTTCCAAAGTAGTTATATCACTTTGCCATCAGTAAATTAAGAGATTCTAGTGGCTCTACATCCTTCTTTGCCAACACTTATTGTTGTTTGCCAACATTTTCATACCTACTGTAGTTTCTCTATATATGTCTTGGGCAAGTGACTATCTTTCTAGAGTTCAGTTTCCTCATCTGTCAAGTGGGGATTATAATAATACCTACTTCATAAAGTTAGATTCAAGATTAAACATGTCAAGATATGACACTAGCACCTGGTACACAATAACCAAGTACTAAAAAAGGGTTGGCTATTTTTATTATTATTATAGTTATTATCAACTATTTAAGAAATTTGTCTATAATGTATTGATATTTTAGGTGGTTGGCATAGATAAAAACCAGAATTTGGAAGTTAAAAAAACCCAAACATGGACTGCAGATGTTAAGGATAATGAGGTAATTGAGCAACAGAAGAAGATATTTTCTTTAATACAGGAGAAAAATGAACTCCAGCAAATGTTAGAGAGCATTAAAGTGGAAAAGGAACAATTGAAGACTGACTTAAAGGAAAATATTGAAATGGTAGGATTTGGCACTGTATACTTGGCAATATATTTTTGCCTTTGTTTTAAGTTTTTTAATCAACTTTATTGAGGTATAATTTACATGTAGTGAATATATCTGATAGAAATATACAGTCTGATGACTTTTGACAAATGTTTCTGCCTAATCAGTCAAGACTGAAAACATTTCGATCACCCCCACAAAGTTCCCTCATACCAGCTGATACTAACCCTCTCTGACTCAAATTATCAGTCCTGATGTGGTCACCTTAGATCATTCTGTCTCTTCTAGAATGTCATACAAATAGAATCATATAGAATGTAGTCTTTATGTTTGACTTCTTTCCACCCTCTTGTTTTATTACCCAGTAGTAGTCCATTGTATGAATAATGCCACAGTTTTTTAATTCTTTCTCCTGTTGATGTAAATTTGAGATATGTCCAATATTTGGCTATTTTGAGTAAAACTTCTATAAACATTCTTTTTTTTTTTGAAATGGAGTCTCACTCTGTCACTCAGACTGGAGTGCAGTAGCCACTCCTGGTCACTGCAGCCTCGACCTGCTGGGCTCCGGCGATCCTTCCGCCTCAGCCTTCCAAGCAGCTGGAACTACAGGCACGCGCTACCACACCCAGCTAATTTTTTGATTTATAGTAGAGATGAGGTCTCGCCTGCCCAGGCAGGTCTCGAACCCGCGGGCTCAGGCAATTCACTCACCTCAGCCTCCCAAAGGTGCAGAATTACAGGCTGAGCCACCGAGCCCAGCTTATAAACATTCTTGTACAACTCTTTATGTACATGTGCTTATTTCAGTAAGGTAAGTAAGGTAAATATCTAAATGACATTGCTGGGTCATAGGGAAGTTTAAGTTGATGAAAATTGGCTAGGTTGATTTCCGAAGTAGTTGTATCACTTTGCATTGCCGTCAGCAAATTAAGAGATTCTAGTGGCTCTACATCCTTCTTTGCCAATACTTATTGTTGTTTGCCAATATTTTCATACCTACTTTAGTTTCTCTATATATGTTTAGGGTCAATATAATATATATAGGTTAAAATTACTATTTGAAGAAGGTCACTGTGGAACACAGCAGAAATTAACATTTGTGTTTTAATTTTGCAAATTTCTTGGGATTGGCTTACTTGGTCAAAAGTACTGAATGTAAATACGCATACAAACAAAAATTCTCAGTCTCTGGCTTGTTATGTTTTTGTGGTCTTGATACATGTGTGAAGTCAATAACTAAGATTATCCCAAGTCATACTAGCAAAGGGCAGCTGCCATTTTTGAGCTTACTGGTGGTGGTCAATGCCCAAAACCAAAGCCATTCCAGAGTTTGAAAAATGCTGGTCAGTGAAAGCTTAGAAAACATCTCTTTTAGTTTATGGGCAAAACTGACCTAAATGTTCATGATACAGTGCTAAAGCCAATTCTAATTCACATAATACGAATGTAAATTTAGCAAAAAAAAAAAACAGTGTGAAAAATGCCAACTCTTGGCATCCATATGATTAAGGACTAATTTTTTTTTTAGAATTTGCCTTTTCCTATATAGTGTGTCCTGATTTCTTCATTAGCACTGATTTTTCCTGATTTCATAAATATAAGATAATATTTATTTTAATTTCAACTTTTAAAAAAATACTAGACCATTGAAAACCAGGAAGAATTAAGAATTCTTGGAGATGAACTTAAAAAGCAACAAGATATAGTTGTACAAGAAAAGAACAATACCATAAAGAAAGAAGAAGAGCTTTCTAGGACCTGTGAGAGACTAGCAGAAGTTGAAGAAAAGCTAAAGGAAAAGGTGAATTTTTAAAGTTATTTTCCTGGCTATTTTTTTGGTAATAAATTTTTATTCCCATAGACCTAAATCCATAAATAGCACATGCCTCCCAAATGAACAGATCTCAGTGCTAATTCTTTAGACAGTTTAAACTTATACTGAGAACTAAATTAACATCCCTTATAAGGATTATATTATTCAAGAGTCTGTGGGTGGGGGGGCCGTTGTATTATTTAAACAAATAATATATATTCACTAGTCAAATATTTCTTGAGCACTACCATGGGCCAGGCATTGTTCTAGGCACTTGAGATATATTAGTCAAAAAAACAAAGTTCCTCTTCTTATAGAGATGTATTAGTCATCCTCTGAAATGTAAGACTTATCACTATCACCATAGATATTTGCAATTTCCTGAATTATTTCTTTTGTAGAAGAAAGGTGCTGTTGTAATATTTTATAAGAGCTAAGACCCCTGTAACAATTGAGCTGTCCAAATGATTTTAAAATGTAACCTCAGAGATCTTTATGTAAAGTAAGGGCAGTGCCACATGTAGTATATTGTTTTTATTGTTCTTCTGTGGAACTCTTTTTCCTTATATGTTTTCTTTTAATTCTCTCCTAATTGAATTCACTAATCAACCCATATCAGTTTTCTGGGATTGACATTGTCAATATCAATCTGCTGTACACTTGGTGGTTGATAACAGTAGAAGTTTATTCTGTCAAAGACTGAATCCTAGAATCCAAAATTGAATCAATAGTACCACGTTCCCTCTGAAGGCTCTAGAGAACAATTCTTCCTAGTTTCTGGTGTCTCCCAGCTACCCTCGGCATCCCTTGGCTTGTAATGAATCTCTCCAGTCTCTCCTTTCCTCTTCACATGTCCTTCTTCTCCATGTCTCTCTGTGTCCTTTTCCATCTCGTATATATTGTCCTAATCTAATTACATCTGCAAAGACCCTATTTCCAAATAATTTCACATTCTGACATTCCTGACATGAATTAGTGACATCCTAAACATGAATTTTGGGTGGAACACTATCCAACCCACTATAGACACTTAAGCCTGGAAGGTTAATTTACTTTTAATGCTACTGGTCTGTTTATAAAAGGTTAGGAGGCAGAGCTATTAATAATTTTACATAAGAATTTTGAGAATATAGGCAAAATGGTAATTATAAAAATTTTACCTCTTAAGAGCCAGCTACTCCAAGAAAAACAGCAACAACTTCTTAGTGTACAAGAAGAGATGAGTGAGATGCAGAAAAAGATGAATGAAATAGAAAATTTAAAGAATGAATTAAAGAATCAAAAATTAACATTGGAACATGTGGAAACGGAGAGACTAGAGTTGGCTCAGAAACTTGATGAAAATTATGAGGAAATGAAATCTATAACCAAAGAAAGGAATGATCTAAAGAAATTACAGGATTCATTTGAAACAGAGAAAGACCAACTTAACAGATATATAAAAGAGATTGAAGCTACAGTAAGTTATATCCTTTTCCTTCATCTATTAAATGTTTCTTTTAAAAACTGATTTGGAAAGAGGGAAACAATTTTGGGATAATGATGTCATAATATTCTTTAAATTTCACTTGCTAAGGGCCTACTAACTAAAGAAGAACTAAAAATTGCTCATATGCATCTAAAAGAACACCAAGAAACTATTGAAGAACTAAGAAGAAACATTTCTGAGAAGACAGCTCAAATAATAAATACTCAGAAGGACTTAGAAAAATCCAGTACTGAATTACAAGAGGTATGTCTTTTCTTCCTTTCATCTTTTGTCTCTTCTTCCTTCCTTTCTCCTTTGAAGGAAAGATAAGCAATAAGTAGTTGTTAAATTATGGTTCATTCATTTATTAGGAAAATATGTATTGAGTGTCTAATGTGTCAGGCAAGTCCTGAGCTATAGAAGTACAGTGGAAACAAGACAGACAAAATTCCTGTAATCCACGTGAAAGAATGTAGCTGATAAATAAGCAATAAAATGAACAAGATAACATCAGATAATAGTAAATGCTATGAAGAAAATGAAACATTGGGATAACTGGTCCAACCTTTGTTAAAAGCACACTCTATGCCAGGTGTTGATACAATGGATTTAAATAAGACACTGTTCTTTCCCCTCTTTATCAGCATATAAAATTTCTCAGTTCTGGTATGGTAATTGCAGAAATAGGACATACAAAATCACATGGTACCACTGATCATGAAAAGGGGAATTGATCTGTACATATAGAAAAAATTAAGATGTAGCATTAGGGCCCATCTGAAAATAGAAACTATTCGTTTATTGGGATATAGTTTGCTCAACTGTAATATTTCTCTTGTAGCGTTTGAAACTAGTATAGAAATAACAGGTGTACTACTGACTGAATTAACAGTTTCTTGGTAAAGTGTAAGGAGTGGTTCACTTTGGGTCTAAGCTGGAAAGAAAATTATGACAGAATATGACTAGCAGAAAAATCACGAATAGCTTTAGTGAGAATTGAGGGAAAATAATTAAGAATCTGTGCTCCAAGTTAGGCCCTGAAGGTTCAAGATTACTTTCATTGTTATGGAAAGTATCTCGATCTTTTCCCTTTAAAGAATTATGATAATAATCTCCAGATAGTAACCTTGGTGTTTTATGTCATAAGATTCCAGTGTTGCAAAAACAGGAGCTCCCTCCTAATGTGAAAGAAGTCAGTGAAACTCAAGAAACAATGAATGAACTGGAGTTATTGAAAGAACAATCCACAACCAAGGACTCAACAACACTGGCAAGCATAGAAATGGAAAGGCTCAAGTTGACTGAGAAACTTCAAGAAAGTCATGAAGAAATAAAATCTCTAACTAAGGAAAGGGATGACCTTAAAATGATCAAAGAAGCACTTGCAGTTGAACACGACCAGCTGAAAGAAGACATCAGAGAAACTTTGGCAAAAGTAAGTTTCTTTTTTTTTTTCCTCCCATCTAATAAGTATTGCATTATAAGAATCAAGGCTTTGGAAAGGGACGTTTTCCAAAATGTTCCAAATTGTGTTATAGTTACAATTTTACTACCGATTTTCTTTAAATGCCTCTTAATCATGAAGTGACTAGAAACAGCAATTAAAAAGTGTTTATGAATACTAAGAAACTACTGAAACTGGGAAAAGATTTTTCAGAAAAGATAGCTGTTTTCTTAAATATTCAAAAATAATTTAGAAAAAAATAGTACAAACTACAAAAAAGAATAAAGCCAAAAATGCATTATTTTGATTCTTCCTTTTTACTTGTTCTTCCAATGTCCCATAAAGCACTATCATCTGTCTCATTGCTTCAGTCAGAAATCTAGGAGTTGTCCCTACTAGTATCCCTTCCTTTCTGCTCATTCAGTAACCCAGTCGTCAAATCTTGTTGATCTGAGTATGTGTTTTAAAAATCCTCCCACTTCTCTCTCCACATTGCCACTGCCGTAATCCAAGCCACCATCCTTTCTTTTCCTGACTTGCTACAATAGCTTCCCAAAAGGCATTACCACATTTATTCTTAAACTTCTCTAATCCAGCTTCTATTCTGAGCTAAAGTCTTAAATTCCTTTAATATCTTATTGTTAGTCTTTAAATAAGGACCAGAATCCTCCATGTGGCCTACCAGACCCTGAGTTCCGGACCTTGCTGGTCTCTCACTTCAGCTCCCTCTTTCTCCTGCTCCGTGTGCTCCAGCGACACTCATTTGTTGTTCTTCTTCAGTTCATGGCTTTCATATGCTCTGGTCTCTCTACCTACAGTACTTTCTTACCCCTTTTTATATGACTAATACTCTCATCCTTCAGATCTCAGCTGGAACTTTCTGCCCCCTAATTTTATTAATCACTTGCAATTCATTTGATCTGACACTAATGCCCTGGGAGGACCCAACACCTCTGTTCTGGTAAGATTTGGCATAATATCTGTCTTTGTCCCTAAGTGTTAAGTCTCAAAAGGCAGAGATCATGTAAGTCTAATTTATCATTTTGTCTTCAACCTCTGGTAGGATTCTGACAGCATAGTAGTAAAAAAAAGTGTCAAATGCCTGGATAATGGAAGAGTGGGAGAGTGGAAAGATTGCTCAGTGCATGAGCCATTGAATCCTGCCTTAGTTGCTTTAGAAAGTATCCTGATTTCTTTTCCCCTAAAATAAAATATCTCTGGATATCAACTGTCTTGCTTTCTGATCCCCTTAAGATCAAAGAGTCTCAAGACAAACAGGAACAACCCTTCAGTGTGAAGGAAAAAGACAATGAGACTCGTAAAACAATGAGTGAGATGGAGCAATTGAAGGAACATTTCAAAGCCAAAGATTCAGCACTACTAAGCGTAGAAATGACAAAGCTCAAGTTGTCTGAGAGACTTCAAGGAAGTCATAATGAAATGAAATATTTAGCTAAGGAGAGAGATGACCTACAGAGGCTGCAAGAAGTTCTTCAGTATGAATGCAAACAACTCAAAGAAAGCATAAAAGAAATCTTAGCTAAGGTAGGTTTCATCTTACCATGTTTTTTAAAAAAAATTTGCAAGCAATGTTTTTATAAGCACTAAACCTTTGGAAAGAGGAGTTAGTTATAGTGTAATAATTACTAATATTTCTATAAATTTCTTGGAATTTCTTCTGATAATAAAGCACCTGGAAACCAAAGAGGAACTCAAAGTTGCTCGTTGTTGCCTGAAAGAACAAGAGGAAACTATCGATAAGCTGAAAGTGAATCTTTCAGAGAAGGAAACTGAAATATCAAGCATTCAAAAAGAATTAGAAGCAACCAGTGATGAATTACAGAAAAAGGTAAATTGGGAGTGAAGATAGGAGGAAACCTGGGTTGTGGGGGTAGCTAACTGAATTATAAAGATTCCTGTTTAACATACTTAATTGTTTTGGAAAGCAACCTTTTTTTTTCTTAAATAAATTGTGTGTGTGTGTGTGTGTGTGTGTGTGTGTGTGTGTGTGTGTGTGTGTATAAAGTCAAGAAGAAATTAAAATTATGATTAAGGAAAGAGACGAAAGAGTGCAGGAGACCCTTCAAATGGGGAGAGATCAACTGACAACATTGAAGAATTTGTAGCTAATATAAATTTCTCTCCTAATGTTTTTTGGATACAAAAATAGCATTAAGGTGTTGATGATGTTCACTATTAAGTTTTATTAATTTTCCTCTAATTGTAAAGGGACTAGAAACAAGAGGAACTAAAAACCATTTATATTCATCTGGATGAGTACCAAGAAACTGTTAGTAGAAGGCATATTTTAGAGAAAACAGCTCAAGTAGCAATATTCATTGGGATTTAGGAAATTCAGGTGGTGAATTATAGGAAAAAGTAGAACTTGTTTTGTCAAATTGGAAATCAACATCAGATTATTATGTTACTCATATCCATTATGAAAGGTGTATATATATTAGATTGCAATTTAAAGATGATTATAATATACATCTAATACAGTATATACATTAGATTATAATTTTAGTTTGGGAATAATTCTTCCTTTTTTGAAAATACTCTGCCTGTGTCCTAACTTATTTTATAATTTTCTCAGATGCAAGAACTTCGGGAAAAAGAATATCAACTTAAGATGAAAGTGGTCAATGAAACTCAGGAAAAACTGCATGAAATGGAACACTTAAAGGAGCAATTTGAGACCCAGAAATTAACTCTGGAAAATATAGAAATGGAGAACATAAGGTTGACTCAGAAACTCCATGAGAATCTTGAAGAAATGAGAACTATAACAAAAGAAAGAGATGACCTTAGGAGTATGGAGGAGACTCTCAAAGTACAGAGAGACCAGTTCAAGGAAAACATAAGACAAACTGTAATTAGAGTTAGTTACCATCTCTCTCAGTCTTTAATAACTACAGCTTCGTATCCTAAAAGAATAATCAGCCATAGGGTTGGTGGGAGTGTAAAATTGGTACAATATTGGGAATGCTGAAAGGGGTATATTTAGTAATATTTTCCAAATGTTTCAATAAGTTATTCATTGACCTAAAAAATCCAGTTGTAACTATTTATCTTGCACTCATTTGTACAACTGTACAAAGATACTTGTAGAATATTCATTGCAGCAAGTTGCAATAATAAAGCAAACAAAAAATGGGGAAAATTATAACATGTAGGGAACTGTTTAAGTAAGTGCAGCACATTCTGATCATGGAATACTATGCCACAGATAAACGATGTGGTAGAGCTACGCTGCTGATGTGGAAGTGTCCTGTTAGGGTGGGAGGTAAGTTACAGAATTGTGTATCTAGCATATATAGTCGTCTAAAAGTAGCTTAGAGGGTGAGGACTGGGAGACCTCAGAAGAGGGTAGGGGAATCTTTACTTCTCACCCCATACCTTTCTATACTGTGTGAATTGTAGTACTCTTCAGTGTTTTATTTTTATTTCTCTAATAATGAAGGACCAAGAAAAACAAGAGGAACTGAAAATTGCTTACAGGCATCTGAAAGAGCATCAAGAAACTACTGATAAACTCAAAGAGATTATTTCAGAGAAAACAGATGAAATATCAAATATTCAAATGGACCTAGAAAATGTAAATACTGCCTTAAAAGCACAGGTATTTTTTTAAGTTATCTTAGTAACAAAGTTTGAATCGGACCTTTTGTCGAATGAAACAAGATATGAATTAGCCTAATATTCAAGGCAAGTGAAAAATGTGCCTATTCAATTTAGAAAATATCATCTAGTTTTTTATCTATATCTATTGAGATCCTAACTTATTGTATGATTTTTTTAAGATCCAAGAACTTCAGGAGAAAGAACATCAATTTCTTAAAGTAAAAAATGATCTCAAGGAAACTATGTATCAAACAGAGCAATTGAAGAAGCAATTAGAGACCCAGAATTCAATTCTGGAAAGTATAAAAATGGAGAAATTAAAGTTGACTCAGAAACTTCATGAAAACCTTGAAGAAATAAAATTTATTACTAAGGAAAATGATGACCTAAAAAGAGTAGAGGAAACCCTTAAAATGGAGAAAGACCAACTTAGGGAAAACCTTAGAGAAACAGAAGCTAAAGTAAGTTACACTCTTTCCTCTTCCTCACAGTTAAATGTGTTGTTTCTTACAGCAACAAACCCTTCTTTGAGACAAATGGTATTGTTGGCAAGAGTGAAATGATACAACGTTTTAAGTGGATAATTAAGAATTGTTCTTGAAAATTTTAAATTCTGTAATCAGCATTTTCTTTGTGAACTTTATCTGTCATAAATATTGACTCAATTGTTAAAATAAAGGAATATGTGTTTATGTAAATATGCACATACACACATATTCACAAACACAGACATATACACACACATACCACAAGGTTGTTCATTGTAATGGTTTTTGTTTATTTATTTTTAGAGATAAGGTCTTACTTTGTTGCCCAGGCTGGTCTTGAATTCCTGGGCTCAAGCAGTCCTCCCGCCTCTGCCTCCCAAAGTTCTGGGATTATAGGCATGAGCCCCCACACCTGACCTGTTTATTGTTTTTAACAAAAAGTATGACTCAGGCCTATAATTCCAGCACTTTGGGAGGCTAAGGTAGAAGGAATGCACGTGTGCAGTATGTTACCCCCTGGAAAGTAGAAGTAGAGAGTATGGGGAGATGAGGACATGGAAGAGAAAGTTATATCTGTCTTACAACAAAAAAGATGTGGAGTACTTTGTTATTACTTTTACTAAGAAAATATCACTTTCATTTTTAAAAACTAGTTGACATTAAGGTATGTCACTGTTTTTAAAATTTCTCTAATGATAAAGGATCTGAAAAAACAAGAGGAGCTAAGAATTGTTTACATGCATCTGAAAGAGCACCAGGAAACTATTGATAAACTCAGAGGGATTGTTTCTGAGAAGACTGATGAAGTATCAAATATGAAAAAAGATTTAGAAAAGTCCAATGCTAAATTACAAGAAAAGGTATTTTTGTGGATGTCTTGTTTGATTGTATATCTTATTTATTTGTGCCTAAAATGGTTGGGAATGTAAAATGGTTTCGCCAGTCTGAAAAACAGCTTGATAATATTTACTAATACTGAACATAGCCTACTTTAAGGTCCAGCATTTCTATTCTTTGGGTATGTCCCTAAGAAAAAAGAGTGCATATGTCTACAAAAAGGCACTAGAATATTCATAGCAGCTTTATCCAAAATAGCAAAAACCTGAAAACATTTCAAATGCCTATCAGCAGAATAGCGGATAAGCACATTGTGATACATAAGTTCAAAAACTGATCTAGAGTTGTGGCTACCTCTAGTAAGGGACACACAGACACCTTACAAAGTGCTGGAAATGTTCTCTCTCTCTCTTTTTTTTCCCCCTGAGTCAGAGTCTCACTGTGTTGCCCAGGTTGGAGTACCATGGCACGCTCATGGCCACAGCATCCTCTACCTGCTGGGCTCAGGTGATCCTTCCACCTCAGCCTTCCAAATAGCTGGAACCACAGGTGTGTGCCACCACGCCCAGCTAATTTTTTGATATATTGTAAAGATGAAGGCTCACCACCTTGCCCAGGCTGGTCTCAAGCCTATGAGGTCAGGCAACCCTCCCCCCTCGGCTTCTCAAAGTGCTAGGATTATAGGCGTGAGCTATCACACCTCACCTGAAAATGTTCTCTTTTAAACTGTGTTGTGATTACATAGATGTATCCTTATGTCAAGAATAATTGAATTATACACTGAAAATTAGTGTGTTTTATATATATTATACCTCAAAAGAAAATTAAATTATGTGGACTATCAGTGAAAGTAACATGGGTACACTATTGTCTTAATCAATTTAGAAACTATTCTTTATCTGTCCTTAAAAAAAAATCTGTATCCTAACATTATTTTCTGGTTGTATTAAGATTCAAGAACTTAAGGCAAGTAAACATCAACTTTTTAAGTTAAAAGAAGATATCAGTGAGACACAGAAAAAACTGTCTGAAATGGAACAATTGAAGAAGCAATGCAAAGACCAAAGTTTAACTCTGGATAAAAAAGAAATGGAAAACTTAAATTTGGCTCAGAAACTTCATGACAACCTTGACGAAATGAAATCTATAATGAAAGAAAGAGATAGTCTAAGAAGAGTAGAGGAGACTCTCAAACTGGAGAGAGACCAACTTAAGAAAGACCTACAGGAAATCATAGCTAGCGTGAGTTGTACTCTCTCTTCCTATCCAGTTTTAATACAAAAAGCTCCCTTCTTTGAAAATAGATGGTACTGTTGGTAAGAAGGTAAATATTATAATCTTTTAGGGAGACAGCTTAACCATGTTTAAAAAATTTATCAGCATATATATTTGGTACAACAGTTTCACTTCTAGGAATTTGTCCTACCATTATATTCACACACTTGGACAAAAATACAACGATGTTCACTGTAGCATTGTGTGCGGTGGCCAAAATCTAGAAGTAATCCAAGAGTCCACCAGTAAGGCACTGTCTATGTAATGGAACACTAAGCATAAGAATAGGGCATTCTGTGATACCGATTTAGAAAAATGTCCAAGCAGTATGAAAGGAGAAAAGCAAGTGACAGAATTCAACAGGGAGCAGGATTAAGATGGGGGAGACTAGGAAGAGGAAATTGTACTTTGTATATATATCCTTCTGTACTATTCTAACTTGGGGACAGTATAGTTGTTTTTAACTGTGAACGTGTATTTTTTAAATTTTTGTTTAAACTAGTTAATCATTAAGAAAAGGTAATGTACCTTTATGCCATTACATTTCTCTATTCTAGTAATAAAAAAATCAGGAAACACAACAGAAACTAAAAATTGCTCATATGCATTCAAAAGGACACCAAGAAACTATTGATAATTTAGAGAAAAAGTTTCAGAAAAAACAACTCAAATTTCAAATGTTCAAAAGGACTTGCATATATGTCAAAAGATGAATTACAGAAAAAGATGTATTATATTGTTCTTCTTTTAGAAGTAACTGTATCCAAAATTATTTGCAGAATGAGAAAAGATACAGATACAAATTTGTAGATATAGATATATGTGTATGTATATAACAAATAGACACTATTTCCTTCCTTGAAGGAATTCTGTTTGCATTTTAACTTTTATAATTATCTCAAGATCCAAGAACATCAGAAAAAAGAGCTTCAACTGCTTAAAGTAAAAGAATGTGTCAATAAAACACATTAAAAAAGTAATGAAATGGAACAGTTGAAGCAGTTTGAGGCCCAAAATATATCTATGCAAAGTGTGGAAATGGATAACTTACACTTAACTAAGAAACTTCATGAAAGTCTTGAAGAAATAAGAATTGTAGCTAAAGAAAGAGACTAGCAAAGGAGGATAAAAGAGTCTCTCAAAATGGAAAGATACCAATTCAGAGAAACCATAAGAGAAATGATAGCTAGAGTGAGTCACAATCTTCCCTTATCTAGTAACTATTTTAAGAATTAAGCTTTTTTGAACATGTTTTTATTTTTGTCTGGAAATTTCTTTGAACAGTAAAGGGTGAGAAAATTGTTAGTATAATTTTCACACAAATAGGAAATAGTTTAAAAAGAAGCCAAAATCGGGCAACCCTTTCAGCTCCCCTCCCACTATGGGAGCTTTTCTGTTCTCTCAATAAATCCTGCTTTAAAAAAGAAAGAAACTAAAATATTTTTTAGAAAATATTATTTAATTCTTTATTTTTAAGAAAAAATTTGTTAAAGCAGACTACATTTCTTAATGTAACTTTTTAAAGTTTTATTAAAGAAAGAACACTATAATCCCTACACTTTGGGGGGGGGCTCCAAGCCGAGAGGATTGCCAGAGGCAGAGGGTTCGGGACCATCCTGGGCAACATGGTGAGACCTCATCTCTACAATAAAATAAATTAAAATTAGCCAGGCATGGTAGCAGTTACGGCTACTTGGAAGGCTGAGGCAGAAGGATCACTAGAGCCCAACAGGGATGGCCATGAGCGTGCCACTGCTCTCCAGGCTGGCCGACAGAGTGAGACTCCAACTCAAAAAAAAAAAGAGAATTGTTTATTCTAAATGAAGAAGTATTTGAATGATTAAATTTATAACAAATACCCCATTTCTCTACCTCTACATGATAAAGTTCTAGAGATGGGCTCTTATTGATGAAGTTAAAAGGAAAAAAGTCAAGATAAATATAAAAGTTAAGTTATTCTGGTATGACTGTTTATACCTATTCAGAAGTAAATGTCCTTTAAAAAAGAAACTGAATTCTCTTTTAAAAGATAACAAAGTTCAGACAAATGTAAGTTGTATGAAATAAATCTGTAGCTGGGCTCGGTGGCTCAGCCTGTAATCCCACGCCTTTGGGAGGCTGAGGTGAGTGGATTGCCTGAGACCGTGGGTTCGAGACCCGCCTGGGCAGCGAGACCTCATCTCTACAATAAATCAAAAAGTCAGCCAGGTGTGGTAGCGCATGCCTGTAATTCCGGCTACTTGGAAGGCTGAGGCGGAAGGATCGCTGGAGCCCAGCAGGTCGAGGCTGCGGTGGCCGGGAGTGGCCACTGCACTCCAGTCTGGGCGACAGAGTGAGACTCCAACTCAAAAAAAAAAGAAATCTGTAACAATCTTCTTTATTCTCATATTTCAATAATAAAGAATAAAGTAGAAAAAGTACCATTTGAGATCACCAGACACTGGGATTCATTTTTATGTGGGCCCTAACCAAATTTATAAAGAGATTTAACTCATTCAACAAATATTCTTCGTACTGAACAAGATAAGTGGGAGAAAATGTTTTGTCTTATATTTTTTAATTAGAAATGCAAAATATAAACAGGGTATGAATTTGCTTTTCCAAGGTGCTGAGAAGAATATATTACTAAGACTTGAAAGACCAATAGACAAGTGGTTTTGCTAGTTATTTGGCTGACAGCAATAAAGTACTATAGGATAAAAGTAAATACTATCTGTTAAAACTGCAACTGAATAATGCAGAGATTTGGAAGAATCAAAACCTGAAATAAAACTAAAACCTAATTTGTAACTATGGAGAATAAATTCTGTCTCCAAAAAATACGTGGTTTTTTCACTTTTTTTCCCCCAGTGAGTTGAGGTCACTCCCTATATAACTTAATACTATTATTCATTTTCTGATTGTTAACATTGTTTTGAGTTACAAGTGTAATATTTAATTCCATCATTGGAACTTGATGTAAAAAATTTTTTTTAAGTATATAACTAGACATTATATATGAGTGTAGAGTCATAGCTGAAGCCCTGTTTATTTCTTTGTACCAAAGCAGGACCAACAGAACCACAAAGAGGTAGTAAAATCTGAAAAAATGTTACTAAATGTTGGACAACAGCACTTTACAGAAAACCTGAGAGAAAAGTGCTTTAGGATAAAAGTAAGTGCCCTCTGTTAAAACAACAAATGAATGTTGTTCCCTTTGAAAATGGTAAGAATAATTGTTCTTGGTTTTCTTTGTTATATTCACTTATATTTTTTAATTTTCACAATAACTATATATTTATAATCAAAAATCAAAAATAAGTTTTTGTAATTTTAAAAAAATACACAAGTCTTTATTTCTCTCCTACAGAAAATGTTAAAGCATAGGTTTTGTTACTATTCTAGGGTTGGAACTCTACTTATTGTTAAAGATCATTAGTGAATTCTAATTTTCTTTAGGAGCTTCTGAAGAAATATTCAGAGATGGATAATGATTATGAATGCCTGAGTAGACTGTCTCTTGACTTGAAGAAGGAAATTGAAATCCAAAAAGAACTTTCCATTAGAGTAAAAGCAAACCTCTCACTTCCATATTCACAAACCAAACAAATTGAAAAACTTTTTACTACAAACCAGAGATGTTCCATGGAATTCCAAAGAGTTGTGAAGAAACTTAAGGTACTACCCTTTTAGTAATACTTTTGTAAATATTACTGTGATTTTAAATTACACACTTCAATGTATTTAAGGCCTGCTTTGAGAACTGGCATATTTGCTATTTAGTATACTTACTACCAAATGAAGGATTACTTGAGTCTAAAAATAATAATGTACAGACTCTTCCATATACCTAGTACCTGTTCAACCAAACCTGAGCTCTGCCTATGGGCGGCCTAGACACTGTGTCAAGGTGCTCAGGAGGAAGATGTAAATATCATCTCAAAGATCTCATAGTCTAGGGGATGAGAAAGACATGCAAACAAGTAACAAGCACAATGATAGAAGTGGGTGCAAGTTACATGACATACTAGACAAAAGTTACAGAAGATGAAACTTTATTGCAAGCCAGACTCCTGTAATAAGACTTGGAGTTCATTTTGTAGATGGGGAGTCAATGGACAGTTATTTTAAGTAGTGGCAGTAATAAGCTCAGATTGTCATTTAGGTACTTCAGAATAAAGATTAAATTAGTTTGAAGGGGATAAGCCTAATGGCAAAAAAAGACAAGAGACAATTACAGTGGTCTAAATGAGATATTATGTGTGACTGTACTACTAGGGAAGGTTTCATGGAATGGAGAGGACAAAGGGATTAAAGAAATATTTAGCAGCTTAAAATGATAGGTTCACATTATTGATAGTGGAGGTGTAAGAGAAAAGTTTAGGTGGAGTTCCTAGATTTGGGCTTCGTCAGGCTTGTGGATGGTCTACTGTTAACTAAGATTATTAAAAAAAAAAAAAAATAGGAAGAGAAACAAGGTGAATAAGGCAAAAGAGATTAGGTATTTAATTTGAGGTGTTTTGAGGTTGAAATACCTATGGTGGAACATCCAAGTAGTCATTTAGTTGTGAATTTAGGGCTTGGCAGGAGTAAAGTAAGAACTAACATTTGAGGCTCATCAGCATGTAGGTGATAGATAATGCAACATGTATAATAACAACAACCAGAAAGCATAATGAAGAATAAGAGCCTTGAGGTAAGAAAAGAACTCAGAAAAAGATAAATGTCTAAGAGGCAGTAACAGAAAAGAGAGCAACACATGAGGTCAAATTTGGAAAAGTCAGTCAGGAGAGAATCAAGCAAAAGTGCAGTCATTCAAGTCAGTGGAGAAAAGTATGTCAAGGGTGGTAAATACTTCAGGTAGCCAAAATATGGACTGAAGATACCCTCTCAATTTGGTGATAATAGAGGTCATTGGTAGTCATTGTCAGAACAGTTATAATTGGGTGGTTAAGGAAGAGACCAGATTATAAGAGGTTAAAGAATGGTGGAAGTTGAGGAATAAGGGGCAATCTATCTGCCCTACCTAGATAGACTTCCCCTTGGGCCCTGATAAGTCTTCCACAAATCCTGGCAATCAGACATCCAGAACTTATTAATGAAGTCCATGGAACATATGGCATTCAAATTATTGTCAGTTGAAGCCAGATATCTAAATATGCTTGACAAGGAAGACTTGAGGCATGTAGCATCATCTTTGTGGTTACCCAATCAAGATGGAAGAGGATGTTGAAATAAATCTCAGGAATCTAACTAGAAAACCTAGGTGACTGGCAACACAATTAACTGAAAGGGGGCAATAAAAAAAAGGGGGGCTTATAAGAAAGGGATCATGTTACATTTTAAGCATATTGAATTTTAAGTACTTGTAAGACATCCATAATGTATATCCAATAGGAAGTCAGAAATATGGAAGTAGAGGTCTGGAAGTTATTCTCCCAAGATTCTGAGAGGAAAAAAATGAGGATAGAGAGAAGTTCCTTCCCTCTTCTTCACTTATCAGAAGATATAAATATATAATAAAAGATGCCATCCTTCCTCTAAATGGGATAAAAGCTTCCAATTTAATTTTTTCCTGCAAGTATGTGTTAAGCAGTGTTGCAAAGATAAAAGAAGAACAAAATGAATCCATCAATAAATTTGAAATTGATTTTATTGATGAAATGGAAAAGCAAAAGGAATTGCTAATTAATATCCAGCATCTTCAACAAGATCATGATACATCCTCCAAAGAATTAAGGAACCTCAAATTGAACCAGAAAATGGATCTGCATATTGAGGTATAATTTATTTTAAACATATAATAAGATCTTAAGCCTTTTTATCAAGCAAAAAGGTACCTTTACATGTGTTTAGAGCCATTTTCACTTATCAGAAATTAAAAATAGGTTGCAAAGTGACAACTGGCCAGACATAAAAACTGGCAAGTAATGGACTAGCCTCCCTTCAGACCTCCAGGGATACAGAAAGACAGATTTAACATTAGCAAGTGGGAATTCATGGAACCCCACAATAAGTTTCCAAAATGCCTTCTAAAGTTTCTTTTATCTGTGCTGAAAGACAGAAAACTTTTTATTGCAAGAACTCCACATGGAGTGTTTTACTTTTACCCAGCAATGTGAGGCTAGCATCTGATTGCCAACATGCATGTTAGGTCTACTGTATGTATACAAAAGCTGTATTCAGAAGCACTTCATAAAGCCAGATGCAGTGATACACCTATAATTTCAGCCACTTGGGAGGCTGAGGTGGGAGAATCACTCAATTCCTGGACTTTCAGACCAGCCTGGGAAACATAGCAAAACCCCACCTTGGGGGGGGGGGGGGGTCAGCACTTCTTGTATTCTGATAATCAGTCACAGATTTATCATCTTGACAGGTCTTAACTCTAACAAGTAGAACCTATTACATTACATATACTGCCAGAATTTTATTATACAAAAAACTAAAATAAGTTTTAAATTATTTTTTAGTTTACTGTAAAATATTAAGATAAGTGAGAGTATAGTAGGTATTTAACAAAATACCTAAAGGTATTTTTTTCTTTTTATGGTATTTATATATTTGAGTAAAAATGTTCCTAATGTTTAGATGATTTGATGTTTATTTGTTACTCAGGACATTCTCAAAGATTTTTCAGAAAGTGACTTCCCCAGCATAAAGACTGAATTTCAGCAAGTATTAAGTAATAGGAAAGAAATGACGCAGTTTTTGGAAGAGTGGTTGAATACTCATTTCGATGTAGAAAAGCTTAAAAATGTCATCCAGAAAGAAAATGATGGGATTTGTCGAGTTAATAACTTTTTTAATAACAAAATAACTGTAAGTATTAAGTTTTATTCTACTATCTTATTCTTTTTGTTTACTTTAATATCTACCTCTTTCTTAAAAGGGCATAGTGTAACATAAAGTATGTTTTCTTTATTTGTATGCTTCATAAAAATTGATTTTGTAAAACACATTATTCCTGTAATCTATTATGTTTCTTTAAAATAATTAAATATATTGATGTAAACTGATAAAGGTAACAGAATCTTGGTGTGTAATATCTAGTTTCCATTTGTGGAATCTGGAATCCTCTTACTGTTCTCTTTCCCTTTTTCTCACTGCTTCCTTAGGAATTGAGCCTTTTTTCCATATAGCCTCAGAGGTGGTGAGACATGAGTCTGTTTCAGGGCTATGGGCAGCAGCTGTGGTAAAGTTGTAAGCACTAGCCAACTACTTTAGTAGGGCCTCGTGTGCTAACCCTTGAACTTTGAGATTCAAAAATGTATTTTTTAATTATTAATAAACTTTAATTTATAGAGCAATTTTAGGTGCACAGTAAAACTGAGCAGAAAGTTCAGAGTTCTCATATACACTGTCTCCACAAACACACAGTCTTTCCTACAGTTGACATCCCATGCCAGAGAGGTACTTTTGGTACACTTGAACCCACATTGATATTTCATTATCACCCAAAGCCCATAGTTTACATTAGGGTTCATGCTCGGTGTTGTACATTCTGTGAGTTTTGACAAGTATATAGTGACCTGTATCCATCATTACAGTAACATACAGAATAGTTTCACAGCCCTAAAAGTCCTCTGTGCTCTACCCATATTCACCAGTCTCTCCTCCCTAACCCCTGGCAATTGCTAATCTTTTTTACTGTTTCCATAGTATTAACTTTTCCAGAATGTCATATGTTGGAATCATACAGTATATAGCCTTTTGAGATTGACATCTTTCGCTTAGTAATATGCATTTAAGTTTTCTCTGTGTCTTTTCATGGCTTCATGGAATATTTCTTTTTAACACTGATATTCTGTTGTTTGGATGTACCAGTTGTTTACTTGTCTACTGAAGCACATCTTGGTTGCTTCTAAGTTTTGGCAATTATAAATTCAGTACTATAAAGATGCTACATACACGTTACATCTTTTTGTGTGGACAGACATTTTCAACTTATTTGAGTAAATATCGGGGAATGCAATTACTGAATCATATAGTAAAATTATGTTGAGTTTTGTAAGAATCTGCCAGACTGTCTTCCAAAAGAGCTGTGCCATTTTGCATTCCCACCAGCAATGAATAAGAATTCCTGTTGTCTACATCCTTTCTAGAATTTGGTGTCAATTTTGAATATTAACCTATTAAGTGTGTGTATAGTCTATTAAGTGTGTAGTGGTATCTTGTTAAATTTAAATTTCTATGGACATATGATGTTGGTCATTTTTCATATGGTTATTTGCCATCTGTGTATCTTTTTTTTTCTGTCCAGGCCTGGCGTTCATTTTTTAGTCAGGTTATTTGTTTTCTTATTGTGGAAGTTTAAGAATTCTTTGTATCATTTGGTTAACAGTCCTTTATCTTTTGCAAATATTTTCTCCCAGTCTGTGATTTGTCTTCTCATTCTCTTGGTGTTGTCTTTCACAGTGCAGATTTCTAATGCTTAAAAAGTCCAACTTATCGATTATTTCTTTCATAGATCTTACCTTTGAGGTTGTATCTAAAATGTCATAACTAAATCCAGGGTCTCCTAAGTTTTCTCCTCTGTCATCTTCTAGGAGTTTTCTAGTTTTTGTTTCACATTTAAACATTTTGAGTTAAGTTTTCTGAAGGGTGTAAGATCTCTGACTCGATTCATTTTTTTGCTTGTGGATATCCAGTTCTGCCACCATTTATTGAAAAAATTATTTTTGCTGTATTGTATTGCCTTTGCTCCTTTGTCAAAGATCAGTTGACAGTGTGGGGTCTATTTCTGGGCTCTTTGTTCTGTTCCCTAGTTCTGTCTGTTCTTTCATCAAAATCATACTGTCTAGATAACTATACCTTTATAGTAAATCTTGAGGTCAAATAATGTCAGTTCGCTTATTTTTTTCTTTTTTAATATGCTGTTAATTATTCTGGGTCCTTCTCCATTTAAAGTCAATCAATTTGTCAATATTCACAAAATAACTTGATGTGATTTTGTTGAGATTGTATTTAATTTATAGATGAAGTTGGAAAGAACTCAATCTTGACAATATTGTCTTTTTACCCTTGAATATGGAATATCTCTTCATTTATTTAGTTACTTGGTTTTTTTCGTAGGAGCTTTGTCATTTTCTCATATGGGTATTATACATAAATTGTTAGACTCATACCTATGTATTTATTTTGGAGATGCTAGCATAAATAGTAACATTTTTTTGAGTTGGGGTCTCACTCTGTCACCCAGACTGGAGTGCAGTGGCACGCTCCCGGCCACCACAGCCTTGGCCTGCTGGGCTCCAGCGATCCTTCCGCCTCAGCCTTCTAAGTAGCTGGCACGACAGGCGCGCTACCATGCCCAGCTAATTTTTTATTTATTGTGGAGATGAGCTCTCGCCAAGTTGCCTGGGTGGGTCTTGAACCCACAGGCTCGGCCAATCCACTCACCTCGGCCTCCCAAGGTGCTGGGATTAGGCTGAGCCACCGAGCTCAGCCAGTAATAACGTATTTTTAATTTCACATTACACTTGTTCATCACTGGTATATAGAATGCAATTTGCTTTTGCATATTAACTTTGTGTCCTGTAACCTTGTATATTGCTTATTGGTTCCACAAGTTTTTTCACTGATACGTTCAGATTTTTCTACAGATATGGTCATCATGTGCAACAAAGAGAGTTTTATGTCTGCCTTCTAAATGTGTATACCTTGTATTTCCTTTACTTGTGTTATCTCACTGCTAGGACTTCAATACAATGTTGAAAACCAGTGGTGAGATGGAATATTTTTGCTTTGCTTCCAATCATAGCAGGAAAGTTTCTAGTTTCTCATGATTACATATGATGTTAGCTATAGTTTTTTTGTAGGTGCTCTTTATCAAGTTGAGGAGATTTACCTTTATTGCTAATTTGCTGAGAGTTTTAAATTATGAATGCTTTTTCTGCATCTGTTGTTACAATCATCTAATTTTTCTTCTTTAGCCTATGTGATGGAACACATTAATTGTTTTTCAAATGTTTAACCTGTCTTGCATACCTGGAATAAATCACACTTGATCATGATATATAATCCTCTTTATACATGGTTGGATTTGATTTTCTATTATTTTGTATTAGGAAGTTAGTATTTGGGTAATGTCATCATCTGGTTTTGGTATTAGAATAATGTTGGCCTCATAGAATGAGTTGGAAGTTATTCCTTCTGTTTTTATCTTCTGGAAGAGATTGTAAAGAATGGGAATGATTTTTTTTTTCTTAAATTTCTTAAATATTTGGTAGAATTCACCAGTGAACTCACCTAGGCCTGGTACTTTCTGTTCTGAAAGATTTTGTATTACTGATTCAATGTATTTGCTAGATATAGATCTAATCAGACTGTCCGTTTCTTTTTGTGTATTAGCAGATTATATCATTCAAAAAATTGGTCCATTTCACCCAAGTTATCAAATTTGTGGACATAGAGGTGTTCATAATATTCCATTATTATTATTTTAATATTTATGGGATCTGTAGTAATGTCCCCACATTCATTTCTGTTATTAGTAATTTGTGTCCTTTCTTTTTTCTTTGATTGCCTAGCTAGAGGCTTATTAATTTTATTGATCTTTAAAAAAAATGCTTTTGATATTTTTTCTTTTCTCTGTCTACTTGTTTCAATTTTACTGATTTCTGCTCTAATTTTTATTTCTGCTGCTTACTTTGAATTTAATTCGTTGTTCATATTTAGTGTCCTAAGATTAAAGCCTAGTTTGTTGATTTCAGATCTTTCTTCTTTTCTAATATATGCATTCAGTGCTAAAAATTTTCTTCTGTGTATTGCCTTCACTGAATTCCTCAGATCTTGATAAGTTACATTTTCATTTTTATGTAGGTGAAAATATTTTATTTCTCTTGATATTTCTCCTTTAACCTATATGTTATTTAGAAGTATGTAGTTTAATCTCCAAGTATTGGGGATTTTCTAGCTATCTGTTATCAATTTCTAGTTTAATTCCATTATAATCTGAGAACAAACATATTATGATTTCTATTCTCTTAAATGTATTTAAAATGTATTTTATGACCCAGACTATGGTCTGTCTTGGTAAGTGTTCATTGTGAGTACAGGATGTGTAATGGTCTGTTGGTGAGTGAAGTAGTCTGTAGATGTCAACTGTATCTAGTTGACTGGTGCTGTTGAGTTCAACCAGATCCTTACTGATTCTATGCCTGGTAGAGCTGTCCATTTCTGATAGAGGGAATGTTAAAGTTTCCAACTGTAATAATAGATTCATCTATTTCTCCTTATAGTTTTATTAGTTTTTGCCTCAAGTATTTTAATGTTCTGTCAATGGTGTGTGCAGAAAAAGGACTGTTATATCTTCTTGGAATATTGAAGCCTTTATCACTATGTAATGCACCTCTTTATACCTGATAAATATTCTTGCTCTGAACTCTACTGTTTCTGTAATTGATATAATTACTTCATCTTTCCTTTGCTTAGTGTTAGACTAGTTTATGTCTCTCTAGCTTTTCACTTTTTAATTTAAATTTTTCTTTATATTTAAAGTGAATATCTTGTAGTCATCATCTAGATGGATCTTGTTTTTTGATCTGCTTCGACAATCTGTCTTAATTGGTATATTAGATCATTAACATTTAAAGTGATTATTAGTATAATTGGATGACTAACCATATTACTGTTTTTGTTTCCCTCCTTTTTTTTCTTATTTTTGTCTTCAACATTTTTTCTACCTCATGATTTTGAGTATTTTATTATTCTATTTTTTCTCATTTCTTACCATATTAAGTATACTTCTTTCCTTACTTGTTTTAGTCGTTGCTCTATGGTTTTCAATATACATTTACAACTAATGTAAGTCCACTTGCAAGTAGCACTATACCACTTCTATGGTAGTATGAGTGCCTTATAATAACAAAATATTTTTAATTTTTCCCTCCCATGACTTGTACTATTGCTGTCATTTATTTCACTTATTCATAAGCATGTATAAGCATGTATATGTGCATACATTTTGAACAGACTGATATTTGTTAGCTCAATTAAGAATAAGAAAAATAAGCTTTTATTTTACCTTCTTATTCCTTCTCTGGTGCTCTTCCTTTCTTTATATAAATCTGAGTTTCTGGCCTATATGTTCATTACCTTTTCTCTGAAGAACTTCTTTTTAACACTTATTGCAAGGCAGGTCTAGTGACAACAGATTTCCTCAATTTCTGTTTGTCTCAGAGTCTTCATTTCTCCTTTCCTTTTGAAGGTTAAATTCACAAGATTTAGAATTACAGATTGGTGCATTTTTTTTCTTTTAATACTTTAATTCATTTGCTCTACTCTCTTCTTGCTTGCATGATTTCTGAGAAGTCAAATGTAAAAAGCAAAGAGGAGAAGTCTTTTCTCCTCTATAGGTAAGGTGTTTTCCCCCTTGGGCTTTTTTCTAGATCTTTAATTTTTTATCTTTTTTTTTTAATATGATATGCCTAGATATATTTTTTGGCCTTTGTCCTCTGGCATTCTCTTAGCTTCCTGTATCTGTCATTTGGTGTCTGACACTAACTTGGGAAAAATTCTTAGTCATTATTACTTGAAATTCTCCTTCTGTTTGTTTTTTCTCTTTTCTGTCTAGTATTCCCATTATGTGTTTATTACACCTTTTATAGTTGTCCAATAATTCTTGGATGTTCTTTTTTTTTCAGTCTTTTTTCTCTATTTTTTTTTTTTCAGTTTTAGAAGTTTCCATTGTTATATTCCTTAGCCAGTCTACTACTGAATTCATTAAAGGTGTTCTTCATTTCTATTAATAATATTTTTGATCTCTAGCATTTCTTTTTTATTTTTTCTCAGAATTATCATTTCTCTGCTTACAGAATCCATCTGTTGTTGCATGTTGTCTGCTCTTTCCATTAAAGCCCCTCGCATATTAATCATAGTTGTTTTTTGTTTGTTTTAATTCCTGGTCTGATAACTCTAACTTCCTGCCATTTCTAACTCTGGTTCTGATGCTTTTTCAGTCTCTTCAAATGGTGTTTTTGCCTTTTAGTATGCCTTGTAATCTTTTGTTAAAAGGCAGGCATGATAGTACTTGTAGTACATAGACCTTTATTTAGTAAATAGGCCTTTGGTACTATAGTGGTCAGGTGTAGGGGGATAGGGAGGAGCATTCTATCATCCTATAATAGATAGGTCTCAGTCTTTTGGTGAGCCTTTGCCCCTGGACTGGGAACTTCACCAGTGCTACCTAGTACCCCCTCCTTAGGTAGAACAAATGACTGAAGTGACTGAAATTGTGAATTTCTTTATCCCCATGTGGCAGGTTACACGTGGCTAGAATTGAGTATTTTTTCTTCTTCTCCCATGGAAAGTTAGAGGGAGCTAGTGTTGGTTATTTCCATTTCCCCCACATGGAGAGCAAGAGCCAGCTGGAACTGGATGTTTCCCCTTGCCCCAGATATATTAGACTCTGATAAAACCATAGCATGTTAGGCTCTGGTAAGATAGTTTCTCCTGATGGCAGGCCTTGTTAAGGAAAAACAGAATGCTCTGTTTTATTTCAAAACGGTTCCTTTTCCCTTCATCTGCCAGAGTCAGGAAGGGATTTCTCCGGTATTCACTGTGAAAACCTAGTAGAACTGCTGAAGGTAAAATTCACAAAAGTGTAGAGAACCATGTGACTAGGATCCCCTGGAGTTTTTAACTCCCAGAGTTACCACACTGAGTCTCCAATAATTCATTAGTTACAGTTCAATTCAGTTTATCCTGCCCCATAACTAATTCCTGCAAAGTTTTCTGCTCCCTTAAGTGGTTGTTCTCTGTATGCCCCTCTTTGTCCAATTTTGGGGGCAGCCCTTTGCACTGTTACCTCACTGCTCTGACAGATCAAAGCAAAGTTGTTGATTATTTAGTTTGCTTTGCATTTTGCTTATTAGGATACACTATAACTTCTAAGCTTTTGACATATTGGACCAGAAACTGCAAAATTACGATTTTTATCATTGTTCCCAAGGTGATCAGCCCTAATGTACTGATTTGTAAGAACCAACATTACTCAAAACCAGTTTGTTAACTTACTTTACTTTTCATTGATTGGTATATTCATTGTGCTTCCTGAAGTAATCCCTTCTCCGTGTAATTGGTAAGATACATAGTATTGAAAAGATTGCTTGTTTATATGAAACTGGAGCAATGGGAGCTAGTAATATTATAGCTTCCAAGATTCATTTCATATTTCATATGCTTAGGTAGTTTTTTTCTGATACTTTAATTTCATCTGTAATCTGTATTTAAATCACACTGAAATAAGGAATAATACTTTTTTAAAAATCCTCCCATGGATTGGTCAGCCCATTTGGAGAAGAGCCAGAGCTAGCAAAATAGTAATTGGCTGTTTCAAGACAAAAACAAGTTCACAATCAGTAGAGAAAGGCACAAAACCAATGTTTAGGGTAAAATTATCTCTATATAATCAGTGTTTTCTAGTAATATTGAGGACCCAGTTGTGATTAGAAAGTAGGGGTTTCTGCTGTATGGATCAACAAGGATATGTGGCTTCTTCCACACTGTATGAGCAGAAATTGATAATTTTGTATGTATCAGATCAATAGCCCACAGCCAAGGAAAGTTTAGGGTGCCAGGAAATATAGCTAACTTAATATCCAAACCTGGTAAAATAACACAAAGTCACAAAGAAGTTGTAGATGTCAACATATGTCATTCATAATAAGGGCAAAAAGTATATCTTATAGGAATTAGGAAAAATATATACATATGAATAACTTCAGAGTTAGTTAGCCTTCAATATAAAAAAAAGTATTGATTGTTATTTCCTGCACAGAAATACAAGATTTCCAAAATTCAGTGAGTTATTTTCCTATTAACACTGAGGTTTGGAATGAAGCAGGGAAACAGATCATTGTTAAGTTTCTAGGTGTACTCTGCTATTGCATGCCATTAATGTTTCATTATTAGCCATAGCATGCATATTGATTTTAACCTGGATAATTTTTAAATTTCTCTTCATATGTCAATAGTAATACAATAAATGGAATTAGCATCTTGTAGATCAATATGAAATCCTCTCTTTTGCTTTTTATTCCCATCATCAAAATTTCAGAAACTGACACAAATCACAAAGAATACTTACATTTGCTTAGAGCACTGTTCTAGGATGTTTAGATAATTGATTTCAGCATACATGTCCTAGAATTCTGGGGAACTTTTTTTTTTAATAGATTTTTGGTGGTGGTGGTGGTGGTTTTGTTTTGATTTGTTTTGTTTTGAGTTGGAGTTTCACTGTTGCCTAGGCTGGAGTACAGTGGCATACTCACAGCTACTGCAGCCTTGACCTTCTGGGCTCAGGCAGTCCTTCTGGACTAGAACTTTAGGCACGTGCCACATGAATAGCGTATTTTTTAATTTATTGTAGAGACGAAGTGTCACCAAATTGCCCAGGCTATTCTCTAACCCCTGGGCTCAGGCAGTTGTCTTGCCTCTGCCTCCCAAAGTGCTGGGATTACAGGCATGAGCCACCACACCCAGCTAGTTTTTTAAAATATGTATGTTTCAAGACCCCTACTGGATGTTGACACCATGAATAGTACCAATCCCTTGTATATGCTGTTTTTCTTTACATACATACTTAGGATAAAGTTTAATTTATAAACTGGGAACAGTAAGCAATTAACAACAATAATAATAAAATAGAACAATTATAACAAAATACTATAATAAAAGTTATATGAATATAGTCTCTCTAAATACTTTATTGTACTGTGCCACCTTTGTGATGATATGTGATGAGGCAGTGCCTATGTGATAAGATGAAGTGAGGTGAATGATGTAGGCATTGTGGTGTTACAGTAAATGGCTTAGTGTCGCTTGTTTCATGGAATCCCATGTTAAAATCTACATCTAAGCTCAATGCTTTCTGACACAACACTTTGTCATCATTTGGAACACGTTTTTGTTCATATCTTCTACCCACAAATTTAATAACTTTTTCATCTTCACTAAGTACCTATCGCACACTGTAACTTTTGCAGATTGAGGTGCTACAGCAAAACCAGCACACATTTCTTTTTTCTTCTTCACTGTTTCACGGACAGATAACCAATCTTACCATAGATCTTTGCATGCAACCTCAGCATATAGTATTTTTTTTCCTTATGAAGTCAAGAACTTTAACCTTTTCACTTAAAAGAAGCACTTGACAGCTTCTCTTTAGCATATTTGAATTACCAGCATACTTTTACACTGCAGGGTCATTATTGAGTAAAATAAGGTTCTCAGTCTTAAACACTGTGTTACAGCAGCAGTTGATCTGAAAACCATGACAGGTACTAACTGACTAACAGGCAGGTTGTATATACAGCATGGCTATGCTAGACAAAGGATTGATTTACATGCTGAGTGGGACTGAGCAGGATGACTTGAGACTTCACCATGCTACTCAGAACAGCACGCAATTTAAAACTTATGAATTGTTTATTTCTGGAATTTTCCATTTAACAATTCTTGTTTATTTTTAACCTTAGGTAGCTAAAACCATGGAACACAAAACTGCAAATAAAGGGGCCAACTATAAATCATTTTAAAGCTCTAATGATGTTTACTGTTCAATAGGCCATTATGAATGAATCAACAGAGTTTGAGGAAAGAAGTGCAACCATATCCAAAGAATGGGAATATGACCTGAGATCACTGAAAGAGAAGAATGAAAAACTGTTTACCAACTACCAAGCTTGGAAGACCTCCCTGACATCTGGTGCCCGGGTTAATCCTACCACACAAGACAATAAGAATCCTCATGTTACATTAAGAGCTACACAGCTATCCACAGAGGTATGTAATTTCTTATAAGATGTTCAATTTGCATCTTCGTTGTGGAGTCCAGAGAAAAACTATTATGAACACAATTCTTTTGTGTGCATGATGGACTTTTATTTTTAACATAGAGTTCTACTATAGATATCATTCAACTTAACTAATTATAAAGCTAAACATATAAGATCTTCACTTTGGATTACAAAACAGAAGTAAATTGTAGATTAATTTGACTATTAAATTCATGCAGTGTAGTTTACGCTACTACCACTTAAGGTATTATTATCATACATTGTAAATTTTCTAAATCATGTGTGACTTTTTATTAAACTATAATGTAAGCAAAACAAATGTTAGCTTGGAGAGAAATAGCAATTTAGCTTTTCTCTAATTATCATCAGTATTTTAAATATTGCTTAATGTTGTAGTCACCATAAAAATGTAGGAGGTTAAAAATATGAAAAAAATTGTTACTCAGACTAACTTGTGTCCAAGAATCAGTACAGGCCAGGCGTGGTGGCTCATGCCTGTAATTCCAGCACTTTGGGAGACCAAGACAGAAGGATTGCTTGAGTTCAAGAGTATGAGACTAGCCTAGGCAACATAGGGAGTCTCTACAAAAAAATCAGAAAATTATCCAGGAGTGGTGGCACAAGCCTATAGTACCAGCTACTCCAGAGGCTATGGTGGAAGGATCACCTTAGCCCAGGGGGTGGAGGCCGTGGTGTCAGTGAGCATAGTGAGCATGCCACTGCACTCCAGCCTGGGAGATACAGTGAAGCTCCAACTCAAAAAAAAAAAATCAGTACAGTAGTTGAATAATCTAATTACTTTATTAACCACCCTTACTTGGAAGTTTGTAAGCATGGGCAAACATACTATTTTATTTTGTTGACAAAATAAATAAATAAAAACAAAAGGACTTAGTAGAGAACCAAAGAATAATTTACCATTTTTACCAAAACAAATACTTGTAAGGAAACATCAATCACTAGTTAATAATTAATAAGCAGTGAAAACTAGGAGATCACTAGTTTTTTTATTTTGTTTTGTTTTGTTTTTGAGTTGGTGTCTCACTCAGTCGCCCAGACTGGAGTGCAGTGGCCGCTCCCGGCCACCACAGCCTCGACCTGCTGGGCTCCGTCGACCCTTCCGCCTCAGCCTTCCGAGTAGTTGGAACTACAGGCGTGCACTACCACGCCTGGCTAATTTTTTGATTTATTGTAGAGATGAGGTCTCACCAAGTTGCCCAGGCGGATCTTGAACCCACAGGCTCAGGCAATCCACTCACCTCAGCCTCCCAAAGGCGCAGAATTACAGGCTGAGCCACCAATCCCAGCTGCTAGTTTTTTGATTTGCTACAGAATTCAGTCAGCTTGCAGGGATAAAATAAAGGAAAGATGGAGCCCATCTACCAAAGTAGTAATTTAAAGAAGCAAAAGGAAATTCCATCTTGAGTGACCCAGTAAAATAACCTAACAGATAATATATGCTACAGTTACACTAATTTAATAATAATGCACAAACAGACAAGTAGAACAGTGGAACAGAATAGAGAGTTTAGAAGTACACCCAAGTAAGAGTGAGAATCTAATATAGATATGTGATACTGGTAGCATTCAACTCAGTGGGAAAAAGGTGGTTTACTTAATGCATAATTGATAGAACAAGCTAGCCAACTGGAAAAAAATAAGGCTGGTTCCTACCTCATTCATTAAACAAAAATAAGTTCTAGATGGACCAAAAAGAAACATATTTTGCCCCCCCCCAAATTATAAGTGTATTCATCTTATAAACATGAGTAAATTCAGGTATTTAAGTTTATCCTAAGTTAATCTATACTTGCAAAAGACTAGTTCATTACCAGGACTAGTTAAATAATTTATTATATGTCCATGAAATGAGATTCTGTGTGTCCATGAAAATATAAAATATGAGAGATCCATTTGTTCTGATAATGGAAAGATCTGGAAAATGTGTTGTCAATTTTTTTAAAAGCAGTACATTTAGTATATTGTGTGTATGACTTTTTGTAAACTATATATTCATGTATGTTTAGATACAGATAGAAAATACTCTGGAAGGATACATTTAAAAGCTTAGTAGTGGCCTTTGCCTTGCTAAGCTGTGGTTTGTCCGTGTGCTATTAAGCTTTGATCCCCTCCCCTACCTTGGGGAGATGAATTTCTTCTTACTCTCTCTCCAGTTTACTTTCTCAATAAACTATATTTTTTAATCTAAAAAAAAAGAAGAAGCTTAATAGTTATTGCTTCAGAGTCAATTGAGGGTGTGAAATGGGGAGACTTATCCTTTATTATATGCCTTTGAGTTTTTTCCACATACTGTATTTGCATTTCTCAATTTAAGACTAAATAAAAATAAAAAGAAAGATGTTACATGTATTACTTATGAGTCATTTAACAAATGTACTTTCTTCAAGTAATTTTCATTTAAAATGTGAGTGCCTCTTAACCAGCAAATAACATAACCACTGTGCTATTTTCATCTGCATGGTTCAAGAATTTGCAGACAGATTATAATGTAAAATTTGGGCATTTTTTAATCCAAAAATTATCATCTTCTAAATGAAAGAATAACATGTCTGTAGATTGACTGATGTTTGGCCTCTCTTCTATCCATTGTTAATACAATCTGTGAAAAATTAACAATGCCTAAATATGATCACCTTTGTCCCAACTGTATATAATGTGAGTCTGTCTTCATGATAGGCCTAACGAATATGTGCTTTTTCTAATAGAAGATTCAGGAGCTAGAAACTTCACTACATAAAGCTAAAGAAAGTATTATACATCAGGAAGTCAAGATTACAAAGATGCAGAAAGAACTTGAGATGAGTAATGACATAATAGCAAAACTTCAAGCCAAAGTTAATGAATCAAATAAATACTCTGAAAAAACACATGAAATGATTCAAGTTCTTCAGGTAACTTAAACTCATTTTATAAGTAAAAATTGTGGGTTATTTTTAACCTGTTGAATTTGACAAATAATTTAGTGTTCTGTTCTTCTCTTTTACAACTTTCTGTTACCTTTGTGTGTCTGAAGTTCAGTGCTCAAGCTTTCAAAAAAGGAAGCACATTAACTTAGAAATGAAGTGCAGGAGTATAATGACATACAAAGTATTGATTTTTTTATGCTAGAAAAATATTTTGTAAGACATAAGTGTTCATTATAGTTTAAATGTATATTTTTCTTTTTAAAATATACTTATCTAAATATATCACACTATTAGATAAGCACATTTCTTAATTTTTTTTTCTACTTGCCATTGCTAAGTCCCATCTGGTGTCCTGTGGGCTGAATCTGACCTGTTTTGAGAGGGAGAAAAAGTTATTTAAATGTTTTTGAATCTGAGTTCCACATTCTCATTCACTACTTCCTTACAACTCCCTTTTGTTTTAGCTCCAACCCCTTCTCACATTTCTGCTCCTTGATCCTGACTGAATTGGCACATTTAAGTTTATTGTTGCTGCTCCAGTGTCTATCCATGCCTGTAAAAATTAGGAACAAGTTAAGAATGCCTACTCCTTTCATTATTGAACATGGTTCTAAAATTCTGTTTATCCAGTGAGACATAAACAGCAAAGCAAGAGAAAATAATATTAATTTTGTTTTTAGATGATTGTTGATATAGCTAGAAACCAAGAAATCCAATTATAAAGTTTTAGAATATTGAGAGTATATTTTTTAATATTACAAATAATTAAGTGATTACATTTTTATTCATTCAGCAAATATTTGTAAGCATCAGTTATGTGTCATTCACTGTTGTAGATGCCAGTGTAAAAACCAAAGTTCATGCCATCAAGGAACTTATATTCCAGTTGAGGGAGACAGAAAGTTAGATAGTTAATTAAAAATATAAAATATGACTGGGTATGATGGCTAATGCCTGTAATCCCAGCACTTTGTGAGGACAAAGTGAGAGGATTGTTTGAGGCCAGGAGTTGGAGACCAGCTTGGGCATCAAAGCATGACCCCATCTCTACAAAAAAAAAAAAGAGATAATTAGTAGAGCACGGAAATAGGCACCTGTAGTTCCAGCTACTTGGGAGGCCAAAGCAGAAGGATCACTTGAGCCCAGGAGTTGGAGACCGCAGTGAGCTATGATCGTGCCACTGCAGTCCAGCCTGAGTGACAGAGCAAGAGTCTATCTCTGAAAAAAAAGAAAAAAAATTTTTTAATTTATATATGTTGTATGTTTTGAGGTATATGCATATTTCAACTGATACAAAGGAAAAAAATTAAGACAGACAAGGGGTCCATGGGCACATGCATGAACAGAATAGTGACTTTAAACAGGGGAGTGGAAGAGAGTCACAGCAAAAAGATGATCTGAAGGAAATGATAGGGCAAACTGTGTGGCCAGGGAAATGTGTTCAAAGCAAAGGAAATAACAAATACAAGGACCCCAAAACAGAAATATTCTAGACATATTTGAGAAACAACAAAAACACGAGTGTATCCACTAGTGTTTGAGCAAGGGGACGACGTAGAAAATAAGGTGAGAAGTAGCAGAAAATCAGATCGCAAAGGGTCTTGTAGGGTATTATAAGGAGTTTAGGTTTTATTCTGGATGAGATGGAAAGCTATTGGAAGATTTTATCAAAAAGGGTATTATTGCCTTATTTTTTTTTAGCACAGTTCTTTGAAAATAGTCTCCAGTTGGGTGTGTTTATTAGGGAGACACATCAGCTGCTACAATAAAAAGAGCCAAAATTATCATGACTGGACCAAGACAGAAGCTTATTTCTCTGTCTCACATAGAAATCTAAGTTTCAGGTTGGCAGGAGGTTCCATTCCACATGATCATTCAAAGGCTCATCTTTGTCCATCTTTTTTCTCCACTACCCTGTTGGGCACTTTTTTCTCCTGTGTGGTTAAAACCAAGTTGTTAACTATCCATGCTCAGGATTACAAGAGAGGGACAAGACAAAGAAGCTAAAAATAGTCTTAAAATCTTTGCACTTAGAGGCCCTGACCCCTAAGTGATACACATCCCTTCCTCTCCTATTTCTTAATGAGATCGTAGTCCCACAGTCACACCTAGTTGCAAGAGAATAAGGGCTTGGAAATAAATCCAGTTACAAACTATACTACTGTGGAAGAATAGGAGAAGTGATTTTGGTAAACACTAAGCTCAGGCTGCCACAAGGATTAAGAACAAAAGCAGAAACACCATTGAGGAACCTGTTTGACCAATTCAGATGGCCCACAAGATGGCCTAGACATGAGTAGTAGGAGTGGAAGTAGTAAAAAGATGTTGAATTCTATATATTTTTTGAAAGGTTAGCCAACAGAACCTACTGACAGATCATATGTATGGTGTGAAAGAAAATCTAGAGTCAGAGATGACTCAAGTTTTGGCCTAGGTAACTGTAAGGGTGAGGGTTGCCATTTATGGAAATGGGAAAGACTGCCAGAAGAGCAGGATTGAAACCTGAAGAGCAGAATCGGAGTTCAGTTTTGGATATGTTGAATTTGAAATGCCTCTTGTATTGTCAAGTTGAGATATTACATAGGCAGTTGGATATATGAGTCTGAGAGAGGTCTAGGCTTAAAGTATACATTTGGGGAATTATCAGCATAAAGAAGTCAAAAGATTGGGTTGGGTCACTTAGACATGAGCATAATGAGGAAGAGATGTGGAATAAGTAAAAGATACTGAGACTGAGGAGCCAGTGAGGTAGCAGGGGAGCTTCGAAAAAGTTCTAAATTCTGGCCGGGCGCGGCGGCTTAACCTGTAATCCCAGCACTTTGGGAGGCCAAGGCAAGAGGATTGCCTGAACCTGGGGTTAGAGACCAGCCCAGGCAACTTGACTAGAGACCTTGTCTCTACAATAAATCAAAAATTAGCTGGGTGTGGTAGCACGCACCTGTAGTTCTGGCTACTTGGAAGGCTGAGGCAGAAAGATCGCCGGAGCCCAGTAGGTTGAGGCTCCAGTGGCCATTTGTGTGCCACTGCACTACAGCCTGGGCGACAGAGTGAGACTCCAACTAAAAAATGAATAAATAAATAAGAGGCATGCCATTTCCAAGGTGGCAACCTAAATACTGTACAACTATGAGTTTTTCCCAAATTAATTTCTAAATTTAATATGATTAAAATCAGAATCTCAAAAGGCTTTTTTTGTGGTAGAGAAAAGAAAGTTTTGTAACAGAATTCATTTAAATTTCAAATGATACTAAGTACTTAATTTCTATTTTCTGTCTTTTCAGTTTATTAATAATACTTTTTAAAGCTATTAATATTTCTGTGAGCTCAGTTTTGGCCACATGCTGTGTATTTGAAATATGGAGTTCTCATTATCATTCATTTCTAAATCAGCATTTCTAATTTTTTTTCTCTAATACAAGAATTTTTTTCAAACAGTGTTTTATGTAACTAGTTTATTTGATCATATTGTGGTTGAAAAAATACCTGTATAATTTCTATACTTTTAGACATACTAAAATTTTTTTGGTATCATAAATGGATATTTTTAGATTTCTTTGAACTTTTAAAACAATACATACACAGACAGATCAGTGGAATAGAGAGACCAGAAATTGACCCTCTCATATATAGATTTATGATCTTTGATAGAGGAATAAAGACTCCTCAGTGATGAAAGACAAGGCTTAATTAATAATGCTGGACAACTAGACATCCACAGGCAAAAAAAAAAAAAGGAATCTAAACACAGCACTTACACTTATCACAAAAATTAACTAAAAATGGACCATAGACATAAATGTAAAATACAAATCTGGTAAACTACAAGATGGTAGAGGAGGAAATCTAAGTAACCTTGGACTTGACAATGACTCTTTAGATATGAAAAGTGCAGTTCATTAAAAAAATTGTAAATTGGCCCTTCTTAAAATTCAGATTTATGCTTTGCAAAAGAAAACTGTCAAGAGAAATAAAAAGAGAAGCCATAGACTTGAAACTATATACAAAAGATGTATCTGACAAAGGGCTAGTATCCAAAATATGTAAAGAACCCTTAAAACCAACAATAAGAAAACAACGTAATTTTAAAAATTGGCAAAAGATCTGTATAGGTCGGGCTCCGTGGCTCAGCCTGTAATCCCGTGCCTTTGGGAGGCTGAGGTGAGTGGATTGCCTGAGCCCACGGGTTTGAGACCCGCCTGGGCAGCGAGACCTCATCTCTACAATAAATCAAAAAATTAGCCGGGCGTGGTAGTGCGCACCTGTAGTTCCAGCTACTTGGAAGGCTGAGGCGGAAGGATCGCCGGAACCCAGCAGGTCAAGGCTGCAGTGGCCGGGAGAGGCAACAGAGTGAGACTGGGCAACAGAGTGAGACTCCAACTCAAAAAAAAAAAAAGATCTGTATAAACACCTCACCAAAAAGATAGATGGATGGCAAACAACCGTATGAAAAGTTACTCCACATATATGTCATTACGGAATTGCAAATTAACAGGAGACCATTGCACACCTATTAGAAAACACCAAATACTAGTGAGAATGTGGAGCAACAGGAAAGCTCATTCATTATTGGCGGGAATGCAAAATTGTACAGCTATTTTGGAAGACAGTTTGGCAGTTTCTTACAAAACTAAACATATTCTTAACATATGCGGCAATTGTCTTCTTGGTATTTACTCACATGACTTGAAAACATATGTTCACACAAATAACTGTACATATATGCTTATAACAGCTGTAGTCATAATTGCCAAGACTTAAAAACAACCAAGCTGTCTTTGAATAGGTAAATGGATAAACCATGGTGCATTTATACAATGGAATATTATTCAGCAATTAAAACAAGTGAGCTATCAAACCATGAAAAGACATGAAAGAACCTTAAATGCATATGCTTAGTGAAAGAAGTCAATGAGAAAAGGCTACATACTATGTGATTCCAAGTATATGACATCTTGGGAAAGCAAATCTTTGTAGACAGTAAAAAGATCAGCAGTTGGTGGGGATTCTCAGGGGAGGAAGAGATGCATAGACAGAGCATATCACTGGATTAAAGTATCTTTCAGTAATACCTATAACAATTTGCTTTGTAGCTTGAGTTTAGTTCTGGTTTGATGTTTACATTGCTGCTTCAATATTGTTTTGTTTCTTTGTTCTGATTTACCTTGGTCCACTCATATCATTATTTTCAACCTGTTCATTAGGTAGTTGTATCACTTTCAATTGGAAAAAAATTAACTTTAAGAAATAAAAGTTATGTTTGTAATTACACATTAGCCTCAAATATAATTCATATCAGATATCTAGTTATTATTCAGTTAAAATTGATGCCTTTCTTGTTTTTCATATATTGGAATTGTTGTTACTGTAAAACATTAATAGCACAGAGGTAGCGAACCACTCTTTAAAATTGGAGATATTGAAACTGCTTTAATAATTATTTTTATTTTCTCTAAAAATGTAGGACAAAGTTGCACTGGCAGCTAAACCCTATAAAGAAGAAATTGAAGATCTCAAAACAAAGTTGGTGAAAATAGACCTAGAGAAAATGAAAAATGCTAAAGAATTTGAAAAGGAGTATGTCTTTACCTTAATTGAATGTGATTTTAATAGCTTAAACTTTCCTTCTAAACTGCTTAATATTTATTTGCATTAATTAGCTTTTTAAAACATAATTTATGAGAATATTGTTATTGCTTTTTAAAAACACATCTATAGATTTTAAATTCATTAAATACTTGTTACATATGCAGAGTTTTTAAAAATAAGTACAATTTTGATCAATTAACTCACTATGTCCTTGAGTACTTCTTCAATCATATATAATATAAACGACTTAAAAATGTTTTTTTGTTTTTGGGGGGAGGGTTGGTTTTTTTTTTTTTTTTTGAGTTAGAGTCTCACTCTGTCACCCATACTGGATAGAGTGCAGTGGCACACTCACAGCCACTCCAGTGTTGACCTGCTGGGCTCCAGCAACTCTTCTATCTCAGTCTTCCAAGTAGCCAGAAACTACAGGTGCTTGCTACCACACCTGGCTAATTTTTGATTTTTTGTAGAGACGAGGTCTTGCCAAGTTGCACGGGCTGGTCTTAAGCCTGCAAGTTTAGGCAATCCACTCACCTTGGCCTCCCAAAGTGCTGGGATTACAGGCTGAGCCACCGAGCCCGGCCAGAAATGGGTTTTTTAATGCTTGAAAGTGAACATTAAGAACCTTTATGTGTCCGTGTGTATGGGTATGTATTTAGGAGTTTGACTAAGGCTTGTGTTGATTTTCTTAATTTTATTTTTTCTTCCTATTGTGTCTTTGTTTAAAGGTTATATAAGATCCCAAGAGTATATCCTCTTTTTATTGATTTATTTATTAGAAGCATTATATATAATAGCATGCTTTTATATAGGAGGTTTTATGTATAATAGCTTCTTTGTGGTATAGCATCATGAAAAGAACATTAAACAGAGAGTCAAGGAAACTGAATTAGAAATGTTTCCACTTGTTAATGCATCACCTTAAGCCACTTAATCTCTCTAGAGAGATTAAATTCATTCATAATCAATAAAAGGAGAGGCTTATATTAGAAGATTTGTTAAGATGCCTTCTGGCTCCTAACACTTTTCATTCTTCTTATAAATCTTAAATAAATATTTAATGATTTCTTATTCTGCCCAAAAAGTAGTCTAACCAGTCTTTTACTGCTAAAACAAGACCTACTGGTTTTAGTGAAGCATATACCTATTATGCTCTTAATTATAAAAGATAATTTTACTTACAGAATGGAATCACCATGTACGTTCATAGTCATTAAGAAAGACAAAAATTCCTCATGTTTGAGTATTTTGTGAGTGTATGTACTTTTTTTATTAAAAAGTGTGTGTGGCCGGGCTCAGTGGTTCAGCCTGTAATCCCGCGCCTTTGGGAGGCTGAAGTGAGTGGATTGCCGCGGGTTCGAGACCCACCTGGGCAGGCGAGACCTCATCTCTACAATAGATCAGAAATTAGCCGGGTGTGGTAGCACGCGCCTGTAGTTCCAGCAACTTGGAAGGCTGAGGCAGAAGGATCACCGGAGCCCAGCAGGTCGAGGCTGCGGTAGCCGGGAGCGGCTACTGCACTCCAGTCTGGGTGACAGTGAGACTCCAACTCAAAAAAAAAAAAAGTGTGTGTGAACAAATGGAAATAAAGCAGGGACTATGGGGAAAAAAAGAAAGGCAGAAAGTCTTATAATTTATCACTGCTGATTAGCCTAAACTAACAACTCATAAAATGTCTCTCTTGGGGAATAATTCTCAGAATTTGACCCTTGCCTGCATCTTAGTGCAAGAGCTGCAGTCAGGGTTTACTTTTCTGACGATGTAGAAATAAAGCTGCTCTTTTCTTTTATGTTCTGATAATTGTATTTTCAGGATGTTTCTGGGACCCCATGGTAATAGCCTAATTATTTGTTTCATGGCATCTCCAAATATAATTTTGCTCAGTATCTGATGAATAGCTATTAGACCACCAGATATTTTAAAAGAACTCATTTCTCCATAATAAAAAATTTGGGCTGTCCCTGCAACTAAGCAGAATACTTCTAATGTGATAGCATTGTAGTCATAAAAGGCACAATTCCAAAGATGTAGCATGGGGGCTTATCTACTACTTACAGATATTGTGTCAATGTGATATTGAAAAATTCTTAGCCGGGCTCGGTGGCTCAACCTGTAATCCCGCGCCTTTGGGAGGCTGAGGTGAGTAGATTGCCCGAGCCCGCGGGTTCAAGACCCGCCTGGGCAACTTGGTGAGACCTCATCTCTACAACAAATCAAAAAATTAGCCGGGCGTGGTGGTGCATGCCTGTAGTTCCAGCTACTTGGAAGGCTGAGGCGGAAGGATCGCCGGAGCCCAGCAGGTCGAGGCTACCGTCGCCTGCAGCGGCCACTGCACTCCAGTCTGGGCAACAGAGTGAGACTGCCAACTCAAAAAAAAAAAAAAGTAAAAGAAAAATTCTTGACAGTCTACTTATTCTCCATAAAAAATTATTTACTGCCAGGCTCGGTGGCTCAGCCTGTAATCCCATGCCTTTGGAAGGCTGAGGTGAGTGGATTGCCTGAGCCTGCGGGTTCGAGACCCGCCTGGGCAACTTGGCGAGACCTCATCTCTACAATAAATCAAAAAATCAGCCGGGCATGGTAGCGCGTACCTGTAATTCCGGCTACTCGGAAGGCTGAGATGGAAGGATCGCCGGAGCCCAGCAGGTCGAGGCTGCGGTGGCCGGAAGCGGCCACTGCACTCCAGTCTGGATGACAGAGTGAGACTCCAACTCAAAAAAAAAATTATTTACTGAATTTTTACATATATTTATTATTCTTGATAGAATTACTGCTACAAAAGCCACTGTAGAACATCAAAAAGAAGCTATAAGGGTATTGAGAGAAAATCTTAGAAGAAGTCAACAGGCCCAAGATACCTCAAGTAAGTAGAAAATGCAGACTTTTTTCAGATCTTCTAAATTCTACTTTTCAACACACAATAGACTTTGAAGACTGCTATTATATATGTGACAGTCAAGAGTGAATCTTAAGGAATACCTAAGACTGAGAGGAAAAAAAAAAGAGTAAACCAAAGTTAACCAGTAATCCATTTTTTAAATGAATTAATTGGAATCATATTTCCAATTTGAAAATTTCATATTTCCAGCTATCTTGTGATGTCACTTTAGTTTACTGCAATCTCAACTACTTATCCACTATAGATTCCTGAAAAATATGAATTCTACTTTTGCATTATCAGATCATTATATATTAGTGAAGATACCTTCAGTACCACAAAAGAATGACTTAACTATCAGAGTAGAAATACTCTTTCCACAAAAACATATTTTGATAGATTTCAGTTGTATGCAACTAATAAACTATGATTGGTGCACAGTAAAAATAGATATTATTCTGTTTGTTCTTGAAACTAAAAATACTGGGTTAATGTTTACTTACAAAGCTCTTTGAAATTTATCTAAGATTATTTTTAAGATCCAATGGTCAAATTTCTGCATATATACTCCTTAAACTACCTTTTTCCATATTTCTGTCTCTTGTGTTCCATTTGAAAAGAGAATGCTGAACGTTACTTGGGATGTCTCTGTGTAGCAAAACAAGCACTAAACTAAAAGTCAGATACAGGTGTTACTTAATGGCTATGTGAAATTGCAGGCCTGACACCTGACCTTCTAGCTTATAGGTTTATGAATATATAATTGCTGTAAGGATCAAATCAAAAATTGTGTGTGAAAGCACACTGAAAATTCTAAATGCCAAGCAAAACATAAGATGATATTTGCTCATTCTATTGTCCATTTGTTTAAAAAAAACAAAATCAGAGATAGCATTAAAGGTATTACCCAGTACCTGTAGTACCTTGAACTTTCCTGATGTCTTAGCTTCTACATGGAATACTTCAAAGGATAGAAATAGAAGTGAGAATTCTTTGTTTCAGAAGCTTGAGTGTAATTACTCTTCATTTGTAGGTGACTTTCAGACACATAGTATCTAAGTTCTAAATAATATGAACATCAAGAATCTCCTCCACAAAAGGGGTGGCATCAGCCTACCCCTCCTTTGTAAACTGCCAGAGACCCAATGGATTACTCTACTTTATAAGCACTAAACATTTTTATGCAACTTTACCTAATTTATAAAACACAGTCTCTTACGTTACTTTGATACACATAGTATAGCCTATGTAATGATATATGCTTTAATATCATTCTAAGATATATTTAGCTAATAAGTATGTGTTGAATACTTAAAATGTTCTGAATGACTGGGGATGGGTTCCCCCACACATACACACTCTGTGTCATAACAAGCCCTCCAGAGGAAGCTGATGTAGAAAATAGATCAGTAAAGGACAACTCTAACTGAGGAGAATTGCTGTTACTGCAGTCGGGGTGAAAGATCTTAGTGAGCTGGGTACGGTAGTAGAATGGTTGAGGTGGATTCTAGAAACATTTAGAATAGATTGAGTAGGCAGGGAAGAAGTAAGGGAGAAGGAGGAAGTCAAGGGTGACTTCCAGAGAAATAGTGGTTGAGGTGTTTGGGTTTTTATAACGACTTGTGCTATGTAATATTTCCTTTATTTTGAACTTTGGAGATAATTAAAATCATCACCTATTTGTGTATTTGCCTCCCACAGTGATTTCAGAACATAGTGATTCTCAGCCTTCAAATAAGCCCTTAACCTGTGGAGGTGGCAGCGGCATTGTACAAAACACAAAAGCTCTGATCTTAAAAAGTGAATATATAAGGATAGAGAAGGAAATGTCTAAGTTAAAGCAGCAAAATGAACAGCTATTAAAGCAAAAGAATGATCTGTTGAGGTAAGATCTGCTTACATGTATAGATGTTATGCTTATGACTGTTACATATGTGTAGGAGTACAGTATTTGCATGTAATTTTTTGCAGGTGGTAACCCTTCACACATTATAGGGAAAGTAATTTTTAGAGCTCATATAATGTGGCTTTTAAAGAAAAAAATGAGAATATGATATTATCACTCCTGATGTTTGTTATCTATCAACTGACCTATTTTTAACTAAGCCAAGAACCCGGAAGTAAACACAGACCTTTTAGAGGGCAGCTGAAATACACAAACCCATATCCACAAGCCAATGAGGTTTTACTTAAAGGAGAACCCCTTACATCAATTATCATAGGCTTTTTACTTTCTAAACAGATATAATTTAATAATTTGACTTCTACCACTGCAGGGAGATAAGAATCTTTTTGCCAAGTATGTTGCCAATGACACAGCAAAAGTTAAATAGGTGTTAAATAAACCAAAAGGACATTATGAAAGGATCCCATGTGAAACATTATGAAACATCTAGGTGTTGCAGAAGAGGGGTGGTAATAAACCAACATTTAAGCATACCTTGTTTTATTGTGCTTTGCAAATAAGGCATTTCTTTTTACCAGTTGAAGGTTTGCATCGAGCATGTGTATTGGGCACCATTTTTCCAACAGCATTTGCTCATTTCGTGTCTCTATGTCAGCATTTTTTAACAATAAGATATTTTTAATTAAGATATATATACATGTTTTAGGCATGCTATTGCACACTTAATAGACAACAATATAGTATAAACATTTATATGCACCGGGAAACCAAAAATATTTGTGTTACTCACTTTACTGTGGTGGTCTAGAACCAAATATATAATATCTCTGAGTTATGCCTATATAAGAATAGATCTGGGCCAGGCTCAATGGCTCAGCCTGTAATCCCAGCACTTTGGGAGGCTGAGGTGAGTGGATTGCCTGAGCCCACAGATTCAAGACCAGCCCGGGCAACTTGGTGAGACCTTGTTTCTACAATAAATAAAAAACTAGCCGGGCATGGTAGCGCACTCCTGTAATTCCAGCTACTTGGAAGACTGAGGCGGAAGGATCGCTGGAGTCCAGCAGGTCAACACTGGGATGGCCATGAGTGTGCCGCTGCACTTCAGCCTGGGCAACAGAGTGAGACTTCAACTCAAAAAAAAAAAAAAAGTAGATCTGTAAAAGAAGTAGGACTTAGGCTAAGTGAGAGGAGAAGAGTGGCAAGCCTTCCAGGCCGAGCCAACAGCATGTGCACAAGCTTTGAGTCAGAAGAATGACTAGTTGGTGGGACTGAAAGAAATCCAGTGACCAGGGTGTAGAGAATGTGACAGAGTAAGGTGCAAGATGAGCCGCCAGAGGTGACTGGATCCAGATTACACCAGTCCTTATAGGTCATCTGAGGAATTTAAGGTGGTGCCCTAAGTTACCTGCACAGGAGAGTTTTAAGCCAGGGTCTTGATGAGATCATACAGCATCTTTGGCTGCTAGAGCATTATAGAGGAACCCAATTCAGAACCCGTTTGTGGTAATCCAGGCAAAAGTTAATTTTGGCATGAATGAGAGTGGCATGGATAGGGAGAAAAATAAGGAGATGGATTTGAGAAATAGGTATGAGATTGTGTCAAGAAACTTGGCTGACTAGTAACATAAAAGGAGAGGGGGGCCTTAGGATTCTTTTCCAGGTTTCTCTCTGGAGAAACTGGATAAATGCCCATGGCATTTCCTGTAAGAAGCAAGGTTGTAAGTAGAAAAGCACAGTGTAATATTTCTTTTGTAATAACGAAGCTCCATCAAAGATTCATCTATCCAGAAGACTACTTTGTCAAATTATTGTGACAAAGAAGTCACTCTGCATGATATTATTGATTCATTTGAAAACATTTGAGCTTTCTTTTCAAGACTCCATGATCATGGAAATTTACTACATTATTCAACTTATATAGATCCACTTCATTTTCTAAAGTGTGGGAATAGTCCCAACAGGAAGCATTAGGTTAAAATTAAAATGTAAATGTGATAAAATGGTAAATTTTATGTTATATATATACTCACAATTTTTAAAATTTTTTAAATGAAAATGTGAATACATTTTAAGAATCGAGAAGTCTTACAATCTTCATTTTTTTCGCATTTAAGCAATAATCAGCATCTTTCCAATGAGGTCAAAACTTGGAAGGAGAGAACCCTTAAAATAGAGGCTCACAAAAAAGCAACTTGTGAGAATTCTCCACCAAATTCTCCAAATGTGACTGGAACAGCTTCCGAAAAGAAACAAATTACACCTTCTCATTGCAAGGAACGGAATTTGCAAGATCCTGTGCCAAAGGAATCACCAAAATCTTGGTTTTTCGAGAGCCGACCAAAGTCTTTACCAACACCTCATTTAGGTGGCTATTTTGATAACTCCGGTTTAGGCCTTTGTTCAGGTTGGTAAACGTACTGACTACTTGGACATAAGAGGATAGCAATTGGGACTGTCTTTAATATGTGGCCCCAAAGGGCAAGTTTGGGTAAGAAGATTTAGTTGAATAAACAACAGTACATAGGCTTTACCTGCTGACCCTGTGTAAGAAAGTCATTTTCTCTGAGGCATGGCACTGAACTGCAGTCACTTTCACCCAAGTGAAGTCTTTATTCTCCTCCTTTAAGCCCTCGGTTTTCTCCAAAGATAGAAAGATAGACAAGCACCTTTCTCAAGGACATGAAGACACTACACTAAAAACAAAACTACATTTACTGAAACAATCTTTTTTATCAATTCAATGGAATTGAATTTTTATATATGGCTTATGGATAAAATTGCTTTATATTCACTTTATATAAGCCAAATCACGACTTGCATCATTTACTTATTCATTCATTCAGTCAACAAAATGTTTTGAGCCCTTAGTGTGTGTTAGATATTAGACTCTAATGGTGTGTTGATAAATAGAACCAGACATGGTCCCTGCCCTCATAGAGCTTACAGTCTAATGAAAAGTATGGGCAGTAATTAAGTAGTCACAAAAAAAATAATGAGATTCTAGCAGAGCAAAAGACTGTGAAGCATATGGTGGGTATTTGTTTTAGGAAAACTGAAAGTCTTCCCTGAGGAAGGGAACTGAAATCTAAAAGCAATGTGAGTTAGCTTAACAGAAAGGAGAGAGAAAAGCATCTCAGGCAGATGGAAAACAGCTTCAGGGCAGGAGGGAGCATGACCAAGGGTAAAGTTGAAAGAAATGTGGTGTGGTCAGAGCACAGCAAGCACAGGCTTGTGTAGGTGAAGTCAGTGAAGCCAAAGAGAGAGATAAGAGTCAGTTATGCTAGATTTACTTTTATAAATGTACTCATTTTAAATGAATGTTGTTTATAAACTAATAGATGCAGCTGAAGTGCTTTCTAAGGCTCAAAGTAAATTTCTCTAAACTACGTGTGGAATGGAATGGAAATTGTATGAAGGAATTTTTATTTTATCCTGACAGCATGTAGAGAAAACCTTTGAAAGATTATAAGCAATGGCAGGGAAACATAATGAGTTATAAATTTAAAAACATCCACCTTCTCCTGCAAGTCTCCCCACCCCTGTGGATACGTCCCCAAAAGAGCTGGAGGTGATCCTTGATACCTCCTACTCCTTTGTTCAATCAAGTGTCTCACGTTGCTGATTTTACTTCAGAAGTATTCTCTAAAATACATACAATCTGTTTAGCACATAATTCTTTTCAAAAAATAGGACAAAAGTCAAAATCAGTCCATGTTTGATTTGCTTTGAGTCTCAAATTGATAAATTCCAAATAAACTTTATTACTTCTTAGGATTATATATTATATGTTTTTCTTAGCAGTTCATTTTGTGACAAAATAGGGAATAAACATATCCAGCTCTGGTGAGGTGAAATATACCTTTTTAATGACCAAACACAATGAGCCCTTATTGCCATTTTTCATTCCTCATCTCTCTCCTGTCTTAACATCTTTCCACCCAGGTGCTTGGTTTTTGTACTTTTGTAATAGGATTAATTTTGTTTTCATTTTCTTTCTCAGAGGTACAGACTGCAGAAGCAAAGAGTGTGACTTCTCAGCTCAACCGATGGCACACCTCCTCAGGAAAAGATGTGCCAGAGTGCAAAACTCAGTAGACTCCTCTTCTGCCATTTTTCTGGGGCCTTGTTTGGAAATGACTTTGTTTCTTTATGTATCTATTCTTGGCAATTATGTCACAGTCCAACTTAATTTCTATTCAGTTTTTTCTTTACCACTGGAATTAGAAAGACAAAGGCACAGGAAACTAACATATTGCAGTAATTTAAAATAGTGATAGTAATACCTTCCCACATGCGGTGATGTTTTAAAAGTGAATTGTTTTATTTATTAATATGCTTTATAAAGAATAAAATTATTGAAGGAAATGTAGTTATCCATATGATGTAGAAAATTCCACAGCACTATATATATGAATATAAAGCATCATTTGTTAACTAAATTGTAAACTACTTTTTTAGTACCTTACACATGCAATAAATGTTTGATTAGTAGTTTTGCGTCATTTGACTTTGAAAAACCACTTAAAACAGCAAGTCAATAAGGTTATAGAACAGAGTTAAAGTGATTTCAAAGCTTTCTAGGCTCTTTGGTAAAAAGATTTATTCCAAGGGAGAGATTTTTGATTGCATGATATCCATTATTTTAGGATAATATCCCTTATCTTAACATACTACCATAGAATTCACTAGGATTAAGGGGAAATTGTTCCTTCCTATGATCTTTTCCCCTAGACCTGTCCCTTGGGAGTCTGGCTTCTCCTTTCCACCCTTATTTTTACAAGACACTAACAGAGCTGCAGGTTTAATTCACTGGTCTGCTTCACTGAACAAAAGTAACTCAAAGTAGTGGATAAGTTCATCTGAATAGTAAAACTGCGTTAGAGCCATTAAAAATATGATCAGCTGTCAGATATCCAGCATAGTAGAATATTGCTTAACTCTTGAATTTGGATGTCCATTCTCTTCCTCAAATTTGGGAGATTTGGGCCATTATTTCTTCAAAAAGCTTTCAGTCCTTTGTGATTCCACAATTATTCCACATCCTTAATATCTATTCCCCCATTGTTCCCTGGATTTCTGCTTGTATAAATTAGAAAACTCAAGTGGTTCTTTTGTACCTCACATCTAGGGGCCTGCTGGAACTTGAGTCTAGTTACAGGTCTAGAAGCAACGAGGGTTGGTAGGAATGGTTCCTGAGGAGAATCAGCATTGCCTTACAGGGTAGCTGCCTCAGAAGAGGCCATTACTGTTTCCTCAGGTATTGCAGGGTCAATCCTGCAGAGATGGAAAGGCCACTTCCACTGGCAAAATAAAAATAAAAAACTTATTAGAATGTAGAAGCTCAATGTCCCTGGCTTCATCAGAGTTTTCCTAAACATCCCCATCCTGACTTACGAGATCTCGCTCTCAATTAATCCCCTCCCCTTGCCAGTAGACACTCTGTGAGGCTGACAGATCAACTTGTATTGTAATTCAGCCAATCATATGATGAAGACCTGTGTTTGATTTTCAGCAGTTCCAACCCTGTGGCCCCAGGAGAAAAGATTCAGCCTCAGGGCACACTTAAAAGTTCTTAGGTTACTTATATGGAACTTGAACCATGAGTTGGAATCTCAGCTCATCCTGTTTTCACTTTGTCTAGCAATATTAGAAGCTACCAACCAACATCATTGTATTTCTTAGTTTTCCACAAATGTTTGAAAGTATATACTGAGTTACTAAGTTCTTTGCCTCTTCTAAGTGATTAGGAGTATCCAATACAGACATTTTGCTTTATCTCGATAAGCAGTTCATGCCATGGACTATGGGTACTCCTATGCTTTTTTTTTTTTTGAAAGCAGAATCTTTAGCATTTTAAAATCTAATCAGATCAGAGAGCCAATTCCAGAAACCCCAAAAGCAATTCAGCAAACTCATCCTTTAAAATTCTGTTCTTCTGGAGCCACTCCTGGTAGCAAACTTTATATTACTCAGAGTTCTCCAGAGAGACAGAACCAGAAGAATAACACACAGGTACAGACAGTTCTTGACTGTAAGTGGTTCAACTGAACATTTGTCAATTTTACCATGGTGTGAAAGTGATACACACTCAATAAGAAACTTTACTTTGAATTTCGAATTTTGATCTCTTCCCAAGCTAGCAATAAGCAGTAAGATACCCTCTTGTGATGTCAGGCAGTGGCAGTGAGCCACAGCTCCCAGTCAGCCACAGGATCATGAGGGCAAACAACTGATACTGTAGAGTGTAGCATATTCCATAATTATGTGAGATATGCAACACTTTATTATAAAGTATGCTTTATGTTAGGTGATTTTGCCCAATTGTAGGCCAATGTAAGTGTTCTGAGCACATTTAAGGCAAGCTAGGCTAGACTCTGATGTTCAGTAAACTAGGTATATTAGATGCATCTTTGACAAACAATATTTTCAATTTGCAGTGGGCTTATTGGGACATAACCCCTTGTTAGTTGTGGAAAATGTGTTTAATATATATATTGTGTACGTGAGAGAGAGACAAAGAAGGTATTAACTAGGGGGATTAGCCAACATAACTACGGAAGCTGAGTAATCCCATAATAGGCCATGTGCAAGCTGGAGATCCAGAGAAGCTGATAGTGTAGCTCAGTTCAAGTCCAAATGCCTGAGAACCAGGGAGGTCAGTGGTGTGATTCTCAGATTGAGGCTAAAGGCCTGAGAAACCTGGTGGGCCATTGTTGCAAGTCCTGGAATCTAAACATAGGTACTAATGTCCAGGGGCAGGAGAAGATGGGTGTCCAGGCTCCAGAAGAGAGAGAATTCACCTTTTATCGGCCTTTTCATTCTATCCAAGCCCTCAGCAAATTAGATGGTGCTTGCCACCACTGGGTGAGGTTGATCTTTCTTACTTGTCCACGTATTGATTCCAATACCAATCTTTTCCAGACACCCTCACAGACATACCCAGAAATAATGTTTTACCAGCTATGTGGGCATCCCTTAATCCCATCAAGTTGATACCTAAAATTAGCTATCACAAAAAATTTCTTCAGAGTCTGGCAAAATAGTATTCAGGAAACTTATAATTACATTTAATATGAGCTTATCACATTGTAAGGGTATAAAATATGGTCCCTAACCTTGAAGAAATTTAGTCTGCTAACAATACAAATGAATAAGTGAGTATTTGCAATACTGTGTGACTTAGGCTGTTATACAATAAGCATTATTGTTACAGATCAAAGGGAGGCTGAAGGAAGGTGCATAAATAAGAATTATTGGAGTTGGTTTTAATTAGAATTGGTTTTCATGAAAAGTCTGTTCCAAAAGCCTCAAAAGTCAAAAGGAAGGGCATTGCTAATAAAGCAAGGAGCACAGCTGGATGCAAATAACCCACTCTGTTTAATTACTGCTCATTAGACCTAGCACTAGAAGTTTCAGTAGAACAAGGAGAGACAATTTTACCAAAGTCCTTATGTGGACTTGTGCAGAAACATAAGTCAGGTTTAAAAAAATTTAAAAGGCCAGGCACAGTGGTCATGCCTATAGTCCTAGCACTTTGGGAAGGTGAGGCGAGAGGATTGCTGGAATACAGGAGTTTGAGACCAGCCTGGGCAACAAAGTGAGACCTCATCTCTACAAAAAATTTAAAAATAAAAAAATTAACCTGCCATGGTGGTGCACACCTGTAGTCCCAGCTACTTGGAAGACTGAGGTGGAAGGATTGCCTGAGCCAGGAGGTCGAGGCTGCAGTGTGCCATAATAACTGCGCTCCAGTCTGGGTGACAGAGTGAGACATCGACTCAAAAAAAAAAACTTTAAAGAACAATTTTTACCAGCCCTTATAATTTCTGTAAGTATGCCATAGAGACAAAAATGTCTCTATCTTGGATGCTAATCTGCCATGATGACTTCTGATCAGCCGGTCCTGTGAATGCCTCCTGATTTCTACTTTAGTTACTGTCCCTATTGTAAGAACATGTCAACTTTGATGTTATCACATGTAGACTATGATGGATGTAGCATTCATGCCTGTTCTGGGGGGTTGCCTTTAATTTTCTTGTATAGTCTTGCACAGAGCACACCTACCCTCTCTCTATGGCATATAGGCCCTGGGTCTAGGGATAACTGGTGGCAATCTGCCTGTCTAGTGGCCACCTAAGACAACACTCTAAGTTCCCCTTAATAAAACACACTATACTGACAAACTGGACTAGTCTGCCTCCTTGGATTTATCAGCTCCTTTGGCATTTGGGGTGGTTTTGTGTATATGGACTTTGGTAAAAACAAATGTCTTCCATAACAATCACTAACATAAGTACATGTGTGGCACACATTGTGCTGATGGGTTCACACGCGGAGTCCTTCCCCCTCACCACATTCCTGAGGCAGGTGCTGTTTTACCTTCACCTTACGAGAAGCCCAAGAGGTTTAGCAATCTAAGTGACTTACTCACTTGACTAATGAGAAAAAGGTATGAGACTTGATCTAGTCTTCCTGACTCCATAGTCTTCATTCTTAACCACCGTGCCTCTTAGGAGTCACTGGGTGCCAAAAAAAAAAAAAAAAATCTGAAAAACAGCAGTCTGGAGACTTCCTCACATCAGAAGTCCAGAGGAGTTAGTCAAGGGCTGTTCCTCTCTCCAAGAAAACAATGTCCTCCTCTTGCTCTGCTTTGTCCTGAATGTGTGCCTCTGACCTTATATCAGGTCACAAAGTGGCTGCTCTGTGTCAATGCATCATATCCGCATTCCAGGTATATATAAAGGGAAAAGCAAAAGTCAAAAACCTTTCAGAGAAGGCTCACCTTCCTATTCAAGAAGGAAGCCCTTCTCAGAAGATTCAGCCAACTTTTCACTGGCGGGATCTGTGCTCCATGGCCACCCCTAGTAGCAAAAAAGGCTAGAAATGTGAGAGTTTTGTTTTCTAGCCTTTACAGTATAAAGGCAGGGAGAAAGTGAGTTGGATGGGTGTGTCGAGTAAACCAACAAGTATAGTACACATGCAAATAACCCACTCTGTTCAATTACATTACCTGTAAGGTACACATTTCTGTCCTAGAGCGTTTAGGTGATCTGCTTCTTTGTTTATGGCTTCATATCCCTGTTCTCTTCAGCCGGACATGGTTCTTTGCTTTTACTTGCCAACGTGTTCTTCCTTTCAATCTTCCAGTCTTCGGTTCAAGCTTTACATTCTCCTCAATCCCACAACCAGAGTAGTCAGGCTGCCTGCATTGTGCCACTAAATGTGCATGAGTGCTAGGACAGGCCAAACAGGACAGAATAACAACCACAACTGTACCTGAAAAACACAAGGGAATTTTTATTCTCTCCCTGAAGACAATCTAGTCAAGCGCCAAGAAGTTTCCAGAATTTCTTTTGCTCTGTTATCATCCACAGGCAGTCTCCATCTCTTTCAATCTTCACTACCCCAGAACAGCACATGGTAGGCACAAACCAACCACAGAGACCTAGGCTAAAGTGAAGGGAAATGATTTCCACAACCTAAGCTTGGTGTTAACCGTTCTATCTGAGAGCCACTAGATGGCAGCACGTGCATCCATAAAGTGTAAGCTTGGTGGGCCTTAAACCGGAAGGAAGCTGAACTACAAATCCCAGCATGCATTACCGAAGCACTTGTCTTGCTTCTGCACAAAGGTCTCAAGTTTTGTTGTTCCTGCAGGGATCTGGAGGACGCCATCCGCTCGCTGTTTCAAGTAAGATTTCTTAATAGTTTCAAAATGAAACTTTGGACTGGAGGGAGGGGAGGCTGAATTTTTAGGTGTTGCTTCGATCTGCACATTGCCTATTTCAAGATTAATCTCAGCAGGCAGATCAGGTTAACGGCGGGGTTTTAGCGAGTCTGAAACTCTGGCATAATTATTAGTAGCCAAAGAATAGAGCATTCTTACAGTATCTGTTCTAAGTGGACATGTTTACTTCTGACTCGTGAAAACTGTTAGAGTTCCTGAAAATGTTCTGTTTATGTTTCTGCTAATCAAAAATTAACTTCTGATTCCATTATTTAGACTAAGAAAGCCTATATGTATAATTTTCACACTGGATTTATTGAGAGTTGCCTTGTTTTAAACATTTCAGGCCCTGTTTGCATTCATTTTCCCAAAGAAATCCGTTTGAATTTGAGAATGCAGTTTATATAATGTTAAGATGTTTGACCCCAAAATCTGGCCACAGAAAGAGAGGCCAGCTAAGAAACTCTAATCATGTTTATCCTCTTTCAATCCTGAGCATGATGTACCCCCTTGCTCCTGCCCAGGTATGTTCTCCACAGTGATCTTTCCAAAATGTGGATCTGATCATGTCATGTCCTTTCCACGAAACTTTCGATGCCCGTTGCTTACAGCATTAACTAGCCCTTCAGTATGTGGAGCTTGGACCAAGGTATGGAGGAGGCCTGAAAGGGAAGAGCACAGGGAAAAAAACGGGGGTGGGGTAGGTTTTCAGAGGGAGCAATTGTTCAGTAAGTGCTGCTGGAGTGTCAAAGATTCCTAGTGAAAACTTTGACACATGCCTTTACAGTGCTAATGACAGTCTTGTAAAATAGCTTTTTAGTTCACCATGCTCAGGACTGAAAGAGGATAAAGATGACTGGAGTCTCTAAAGTATATCTTTCCATGTTTAAAGTGAATTTTTTTTTTTCTTGAGTTAGAGTCTCACTCTGTCACCCAGACTGGAGTGCAGTGGCACACTCAAGGCCACCCCAGCATCAACCTGCTAAGTTCCGGTGATCCCTCCACCTCTGCCTTCCAAGTAGCAGGAACTACAGGCGTGCACTACCATGCCCAGCTGATTTTTTTATTTATTGTAGAGATGAGGTCTCGCTAAGTTGCCCAGGCTGGTCTCAAACCTGCAGACTCAGGCTATCCACTCCCCTTGGCCTCCCAAAGTGCTGGGATTATAGGCTGAGCCACTGAGCCCGGCCTAAAGTGAATTTTTATCTGTCATGTAAGAAGGAAGATACCAGCAAAAATTCATTGCATCAGACCAGGTCAGGCACTGTTAAAGCTCAGCTTCTCCGTTAACTAACACATGCTAACACAATCAGAGAACATCAGTGGATTGTAACCCTGTCCCAGCCACATTATTGCAATGTGGTTGGGTTAGTCAAGGCCTCTGAGAAGCAGACTCCAAGACGGAATTTAAAATATGTGGATTTTATTACAGGAAATGCTGGTATGAGAGAAAATGAAGAGGGCACTAGGTAAGGCTGTGAGAGCCATCAGACCTGATGCAAGTCAGCCAAGGGAGGAGAAGAGAGCAGGCTGATGGCATCACAGGCTGCTGTGCAGAGTAGGCGAGTCTCAGGAAGGTCACAGGGGACTTTCCCAGCCAAAGTCCGCCATGGGTGAGGAGCTCTGTGTCTCCCAGAAATGGGTCTGCCTGAGCAGCTAGGCGCATTCAGGCACTGGCTTGGAATGGCCCCTAGGAAGGTAGCAGCCGCACAAACTCAGCCGTGCAGCAGCAGCTGCTACTCATGGGACACACACCTTGTCGGATCAATTCCCTTCCATAGTCGGGAGTCTGTGAAGAACAGGCTCCTGAAGCCACAAGGGGATTTAGCGAGGTCTGGTGGGCTTTGAGTACCACTAAACAATAGCATGACCCACGAGGTCTTCTTTCGGACTTGCAATCAGCAGGTATAGGTTTGAATTCATAGCTATGAAAACTGGACAAACTGCATCTCTTGAAATTAGCCCCATGGGTGATCAGGCTCTCTCTTATGTATAAAACATTTCTCCAATTCACCTATCTCTCTATCCCTGCTCTTTCACCAGCGCCTCTCCAGAAAACTGCAGCAGCTCCTAACTGTACCCCCTGCTCCTGCCCAGGTCTGTTCCCCACACTACAGATCTGAGATTCGTCATGTCTTTTCCATGAATCTGTCAATGCCCGTTGCTTACAGGATTGACCGGCCTATCAGTATATAGAGCTTGGACCAAGGTGTGGAGTAGGCTTGAAAGGGAAGAGCACATTGGGTTCAGGAAAAAAAAAAAGTTTGGTTAGAGAAAATTGAGATATGTTCAAAAAGAAAGGACTAGATCATCTGAGCTCTTGGCTAGGCTAGCAACCTCCAGTTTATCAAGCAGGTACTTAAACAGTGATGGTATCGGCTAGTTGTGAGTAAGTAGGTTCACTCGACACCATCCAGCTCAATTTCCCCCTGCTTTGACTTCTTCAAGGCTAGAAAACAAAGCTTTCTATATCCTAGCTTCCTTTGCAGCTAGGGGTGGCCAAGTAGCATAGATCTGGCCAGTGAAATGGTAGGGAATTTCTGAGGTAGGGAATTTCTGAGGAGGGCTTCCTTCTTGAATAGAAAAGTGAGTTCCCTCCAAAAAGCTTTAGGCTTTTGTTTCTCCCTTCCTTTTTGCCTGGATTGTGGTTATGATGCCTTGGAACAAAGCAGCCACTTTGTGAGTTGTATGACATCAAAGACACACACAGAACAAGAAAAGGAACCTGAGTCCTTGAAGACAGCCTCATTTGATGGTCATTTGACTCTTCCCCACCCCCAATCTCATCACACTAGCCATTCATCTCATACAGTGCAAGTACTGGCCAAGTATCTCATGCACATCAAATTTCCCCTCTGTCAGAGTTTCTCAATCCTCCCTTTTAGAAATTACTGGTTATATCTGGCTACTTGGAAGACTGAGGCAGAGGGATCGCCTAAGCCCTGCAGGTTGAGGCTGCAGTGGCCATGAGTGTGCCACTGCACTCCAACCTGGGCAACAAAAGTGAGACTCCAACTCAAAAAAAGAAATTACTGATGATGCCTGTTAAACTGTTACTACAGCATGCTTAAACTTAAAAAAAAAAGATCAGCAGCATTGTAGGCTGGGCTGTTCACATAGCAAAAGTGTCAGGAAGTCTAAGCTTAGTCCTGGCTCTGCCATCTACTGGCTCTATGACCTTGAGCTGGTCTGAGCAGTTTCCTGATCTGTAAAATGGGAATATTGGATGTGATTTGACTTTCCGTTCCTTTTGTTGAATGAATATCTAAGGTCAATTATGAAATCTTTTCAAGGGACAAGGAAAAATCGTAAGCAATTGATAGTGCAAACCTCAACAAAATTTTGCAGAAAGAAATCGAGGAATAGTCCCAAGTAGTAGGACACAAACAAGGCTGTAACAATGCACACAGGGACAGTATGGAGACTGGTGTGATAGTGAGGACTGTCTCAGCCTCCAGGTACTGAAGGAAGCAAAAAGTGGATTAAAGTTCAATGTCTGTCACCAGTTATCCCTTGAATGTGTTATGCTAAATGTGTTTGCTTGTTTGTCTGTTTATTTGTTTGAGTTGGAGTCTCACTCTGTCATCCAAGCTGGAGTGCAGTGGCACACTCACAGCCACCCCAGCATCAACCTGCTGAGCTCCAGCGATCCTCCCACCTCAGCCTTCCGAGTAGCCAGAACTACAGGTGCACACTACCACACTGGCTAATTTTTTGATTTTTTAATCCTAGAGACAAGGTCTCACCAATTTGCCCGGGCTGGTCTCAAACCCGCAGGCTCAGGCAATCCACTTGCCTCGGTCTCCCAAAGTGCTGGGATTACAGGCTGAGCCGCCCGGCCCGACCATGCTAAATGTTTTTTATATTCAAAGCTAGGCATCTAGAGTAAGCATTCTTAGGGAATGCAGATGATGGGACAACTTGCACAGGGGTGCAGTCTTCAAGTTTTGTTTTTTTTTTTTAAGTTCTAAAAGTTTATTAGAGAAAGAAGAGGGGGATGAGAGACTTGCTAGAGCTGGTATCAGCAAGAGAACTGCTGTCCTCAAGCTCCTAAAGGAGGACATTGAGTTGTTCATTCCAGGTTTTCCTGCCTGTAAGAGACCACAAGCTACAGTGTAACCCATTAAATAACACGTGTCTGTAGGTTCGCGTGCAGGTTCCATCATGGGTCGACTTGATGGGAAAGTCATCATCCTGACAGCCGCTGCTCAGGGGATCGGTCAAGCAGCTGCCTTAGTAAGTTATTCTCTTTGTTGTTTGCTTACTAAATTTTTAAATATTGAATTATGTGGACAGATGCTGTGGTTATTTAATTTTGCACTACTTTTTTTTTTCACTTGTGTGCTTCTGTTATCTTAAGTTACAAAAATAAAAATAAAGAAATAGGTCACTACTCTTGACTCCAGGCAGATGAAGAAATGAATACCTCACATGTTTATTATGTTATGTCAGTGAAAATCATTGACTCTGAGAAATGTATTTCTCTGCCTCAGTCTCTCTGCACCATAATACATTTATTATGTACTGTAGGGGTACATAGCTTTCTGAAATTATGTCAGTTCAGATACTGGACTGCAGAGTTCTAAGACTGCCAAGTTACCTTTGTCTCCTGATTTATATAAACTTATCTTACATTATGCCCCCCACCTGAGCTAATAATGTACCATAAATATAATGGTAGGGTATGGTTTTACATATATGAAAGCACTAATGTACTCTTAGGAGGAAAAGTGTTGAAATAACCAATTTTCTCTTATTATTTGAAGTTTAGTCACCAGCTTGGAAATGGTATATAGTCTCTTATCATAGAAGAGCAGTATTTTGAGAGATGTTAAAAGTAGAATAATAGTTTTTAGTTTGTTTGTTGAGTCAGGTTCTCACTCTGTTGCCCAGGTTGGAATGCAGTGGAGTGATCACTGCTCACTACAGCCTCAACCTCCTGGTCTCAGGTGATCCTTTCACCTCAGCCTCCCAAGTAACTGGGACTACAGACACACACAGCCACATCTGGCCAATTTTTTATTTTTTTGTCATTACGTTTTCCAGGCTAGTCTCAAACTCCTAGGCTCAAGTGATCTTCCCACCTGAGCCTCCCAAAGTGCTAGAATTATAGGTGTGAGCCACTGTACCTGACCAAATACAGTAACAGTTTTTAAAAAACATATTTTGTTTGATATTATTTAAAGGGACAAAGTCAGATAAGCACAAAATATGTCATATTATTCTATTAATGATTAAAATAATAATAGTAACGGGGGGGAGGAAGTGAGACTAGTTCATTTGAAATTCTACTTATTTTATAGGGAAAACAACAATAAAGATAAATTAAAGGGGGAAAAGCCAAATGACTTTCCATTCATGAGACTAGTTTAACCAAGTAAACAAAGGATTTATTTGTACTTTGTGTCTACTAGGCTTTTGCAAGAGAAGGTGCCAAAGTCATAGCCACTGATATCAATGAGTCCAAACTTCAGGAACTGGAAAAGTACCCAGGTAAGCAACTCAGCTGCTTGAATTTGAGTTCAGTGTCTGCAAGTTATTATCACACAGTGATACTCACATGTTGAAAGAAAATTCCTTAACTACTCAGATCCACTGGTCTTCTTTGTAGATTTTGGCTCTCTAATGTTAAATTTATGTTCTGTAAACCTACAGGCAAAAATTTGTGTACTTAAATGAATTACAAAATTTGAAGAGGAATACTTAAAACTGTTTTCTTTATCTAACATATTGAGGGATTCAGTTCCTAATTACAAAGTTGTATGTGAACATGTAACACTTGTTATGTTAATTTTTGATGAAAGCTCTTCACTTCTGTGCCCTCCTCCTCCAGGGTAGCGCTGTCCAGTGTGACATGATGTGAGCCACCTGTATGATTTTAGGTTTTCTAGTAGCAACATTAAAAAAGTAAACAAATGAAGATGAATTTTAATAATATATTTTATTTAATCTGAATATTAATTAAAATATCATCTTAACATATACTTGATATAAAAAAGTATTAATAGAATATCTTACATTCTTCTTTTCATACTAAATCTTTTTATTTAATCTATTAAGATTTGTTACAAGCTTAGATTATTAATTTACTTTTCAGCTTTATTGATAAATAAAAATTGCATATATTCAAGGCATACATGAATGGTGTTTTGATATATTGTGAAATACCTTGTGAAATGATTATAACAGTGAAACTATTTAACATACCCATCACCTCATATAGCTATCAGTGTGCGTGCATGTGTTGTGAGAATCTACTCTCAGCAAATTTCAAGGATACAATACATTATTATTAAGTATAGTCACTGTGCTGCACATTAGGTCTTTAGCATGTTCTCATCTTAAACTGCAAGATTGTACTCTTTAGTCAACATCTCATCATCTTCATACGAAATCTTTAAAATCCATGAGTATTTTATGCATACAGTATATTTCAGTTCAGACTACCTGTATTTTGAATGTGCAATAGCCACATGGGGCTGGTAGCTACCATACTGGAGATAGCTCAGCCCTAAAATCACACATCATGATGAGAAAACCTAAGCAATTACCCAAATTATGTGTGCAACACCACTTTCTTCACTTCGCTGAATGTAACTCCAATATCAAAGGACTTCAATTACAGTTACTCTAAAATAAATCAGAAAAGAGAGCCCATTGAAAGTGAATCATTTCACTTAGGTGTGGTGGCTCATGCCTGGAATCCTAGAGACTCAGGAGACTGAGACAGGAGGATCACTGGAGCCCAGGAGTTTGAGGCAGCAGTGAACTTTGATGGTGCCACTACACTCCAGCCTGGGTGACAGAGTAAGATCCTGTTACCAAAAATAAAAAGTTAACTGCTCGAGCAAAATGGAACAGGTTACATACATAATCAAACATAAGTTCATTCCTTAAATTAGTTAATTGAATTGGAATATGTTGAATTATAATCTCAACAAGTCAAAGTAAAGCTGCTATACTGGGAAAGCACAAAGGTGAGAAAGTCTTCCTGAAACAAAATTTTAGTCCTTCTTTTCTTTGTTTATTAATAGTTTCTTTCTATATCCAAAAAATAAAATAAAGCACATTTTTTTAAAATGCTGCCTTTATTAGAGAATGTTCGGGGTTTTTAAGTAACTAGTGTGTATCTTTCAGGTATCTCCCCCACCATGCCAGATCTTTCATGCCTGCCTTCAAGTGTTTCATTTCTTCTTCTGACCTCCTCATTTATTTAAGTGGTCATACCTTTCACTAACAGTCATTTCTAGTTAATAACGAAAACGACATAAAGGTGGAGTTTACAAATAGAAACAGTGTTTTATCCTACAGCCCCTGCCCTCCTCCAGTCCCACCTCCACCCTCCCCACCTAGACAAAATTCAGCATTACTAACAGGTAGCATCAACTCAATCTCTGGGTCAAAGAGTGGGCTCATTTTAGCCCATTCTGTTACTACCACCAGTTTGCTGAGAAACATCTACTGTAGACCAGTCATATTTCACTATAAAGTCAGTACTCAGAAATGATCTTTATCATTCAACTTAGAAAATGGACTGTGAGGGAAGAAGAGGGGATGGATGTGTTGGGGGGGTCAAGATAGGACTTTAAGTTTTCTCATGAGATTGTGAAATTCTTTTTTTTTTTTTTTTTTTAATTTGGAGTCTCATTCCGTCGCCCAGACTGGAGTGCAGTGGCCACTCCCGGCCACTGCAGCCTCGACCTGCTGGGCTCCGGCCATCCTCCCGCCTCAGCCTTCCAAGTTGCTGGAACTACAGGTGCGTGCTACCACGCCCGGCTAATTTTTTAATTTATTATAGAGATGAGGTCTCGCCAAGTTGCCCAGGCAGGTCTCGAACCCGCGGGCTCAGGCAATCCACTCACCTCAGCCTCCCAAGGCGCGGGATTACAGGCTGAGCCACCGAGCCCGGCTGTGAAATTCTTAAGACTCTAGTAATTAAGGTCAACAGTACTATGAAGCCTCACTGGAGAGATGTTGCAATCTTCACGCTTTACTCCTCAAAACAGCTATGTCTTCAAGGCTAAACTTTTTTTATGGTTACAGGTAAAGAGTATCTTGTTTTATTTTTCAGGTATTCAAACTCGTGTCCTTGATGTCACAAAGAAGAAGCAAATTGATCAGTTCGCCAAGGAAGTTGAGAGACTTGATGTTCTCTTTAATGTTGCTGGGTAATTTGTAACTTTTAAATTTTACTTTCCTCACAGAAAGTTTCTACAACTTAAAAGAATTTTGATAGTGTAATAAAATTATTCATTGTGAACCATGATATTGTACTTGAGAAATATAGCTAGATTTCATACAGCATTTTCATTACACATAAGATTCAGCAAGTAAGACTACCACAGAGGCTGACATGATTGGGGGCAACTGAGGTCTACTCAAGGCAAGTGGTCGACTCGACACAACACAAAGTTGTATCATGTGTTACAATTTATGGAAATTAAGTTAAAGCAATAATTTCTGATGATCTACTCTATAAATAATCGCTTCATCCTCATATAAGAATATACCCAGAGACATGAAAAAAATAATTAACAAAGTTAGTTTCCAAGCATCTATCAAATCTTCAGCTGTGTAGAGGATGTAGAAATATACCATGTGGTTCTGCTGTCAGGAACTGACATTCCTACTGAGCTTAAAGTACAGTGGTACATGGGGATCCCAACCAAGCAGTGTTTTATAATTAATTACATAATTTTGGTCCAGAGGATGCCAGTGTTTAGGAAGCTTCCTTTCAGGAAGTGTGATTCAAAAAGTGTGAAGGCTATGTTAAGGATTTGTTTTGTTCTGGTTTAACATCTCCCGTATAAACATTAGAACTAGACACCAACAACATTACTTTGCTACTCGAAGAAATTGAGACACTTGTTTTCCTTACAATTTTGATTTCCCTTGAGAATGCTAAATCTATGCCACCTGAGGGCACTGTTGCTCTTAAAATAGTCAAATAGGGCGAATGTCCTGCTCTCATTTATGTTTGTTTTAAATGGCATTGTTATTTCCAGTGCATTTGGTATAGAGCGTCTTATGTTTGGTGATTCCAAATTCTTGCCTTCTTCTGCAAAAAGAAGGCTGTTGTTTCTAGATGACATGCTCTAGCTTAAGTTGTGGCGATTCTTACTAACCTAACTAATGTACCAAGTCACACTATGTTTGACTTGTTTAAAATCTTGATGAGACAAAGAGCCAATGGTCAGTAAGTGACAGTTGATCAGCAAATGGAACAGAAATTTTTCAATGGCAATTTCCCCCTGCTATTTCATCACTCTTCCAGTTTTGTCCATCATGGAACCATCCTGGACTGTGAGGAGAAAGACTGGGATTTCTCTATGAATCTCAACGTCCGCAGCATGTACCTGATGATCAAGGCATTCCTTCCTAAAGTAAGAAGCCCACCAGGATAAGTACCACATAAGATCTTCATACTGGGCACACAGAAAGGATTCCCACATGTACTAAAGAGTGATAGTAGCTAACATAATGACTAACATACATTGAGCAGGCATTTCATATAAATTAATTTATTTACCCTTCGAGTTCATCCATTCAAGGTGTATTTATTAAGCACTTTCTACACGCCAGGGTCCATTCTCTGCACAGAAGACACATCAATGAACTACACGAAATCATTTCTGTGGGGAGATTCCAAGATTAGGGGCAAGACAGGATAATAAGTAATCAAATAGAGTATATGTGGGGTGGTTGTAAGTAATGTATAAGAAAAAGAAGCTAGTATATCAGTGAGGCTCTCCTGCCTTTGCTGATAAGGTAAAATTTTCCTAGTGGTCCAAATGAAGTGAGGGAGCTGATCATTCAGATATCTGGGGGAAGGGTTCCAGGCAGAAAGACCAGCAAAGACACACGGGACTGGAATGAACCCATGAGGCTGGTATACTATTTTTTCACATCCACTGTGCAGAAGATAGACTGAGAGGTTAGGCAACTTGCCCAAGACCACACAACTAGCAAGTGGTTGAAACCAAGATTTGAAGCCTGGAAGTTCATCCCCTCCATGAATTTCCGTGTCTAGGCACATACTCTCAGGATGGATGTACCCTATTGCTTTTCTCTACCTTAAAGCTTTTCCATTCACTCCTGATTTTACCTGAGCCATAGTGGTAAGGGACAGGTAAGTGATTGTCTGCTTCCCTTGAATTATCAGTTCTTCTCACAGTGCAGCCATTTTTAAAATTTTATAAACAAGCACTAAGCACCTTTAGTATAAAGCATTATACAAGGTACTGGGGAGGGCAGTGGTATAAATATGAGAGACAAATAGCCTTGACATTGAATGAGCTTATAAGTCTGTAGCAGTAGACTGCACAGGCTCAGACAGTGAAAGGGTTTGACTAAATGCAGAACCAGTTCAGCCTGAGATTGCAAATTGAGCCCTATTGAAATACAGAAGAGCCATTTTTTTCCCTTCTGTCTACTGTCAGATGACTGATAGAACCCAATGCTGGCTAAGCCAGGGCAGGAGAAAAAGCTTTGTTGGTGGCACAGCAAGGGTGATACTTTGCTCTGAATATCCAACCTAATGTCAAGAAGGATCCAGGTGAAAATTAACAGGAAAAATTAGAAAAATTGACATAGTAATAAAGAATTTTAAAAATTGTACTTATTTCATACTTAGAAGGGATCTTTGGGTGGTGAGTCTACTGATTGTTGAACTAGCACATTTTCTTGAAAATATAAGTTGCCTTTTCTTTCTTATTTGGATTTTATAAGAATCTGTATTATCTGAAACTTGAATGTTTGTTTTGAAGACAGATCCTTAGCCTAGGATATGAGAGAGGAGGCGAGACAGTGGTATATGGGGAAAGCTTAGGTCACAGTGGGGAAGACTGTTGCGCAAGTATGAGACTCATCTGGAAAACCAGCTCACTTGATGGCTGAAGCACTTTACAAATATTCGTTAAGAAAGTAGGTGTGGGGTACAGGGGAACTGAATTTCAACTTCTTAGTAAGGGTTAGCATTTATTTGTTTGTTTGAGTTGGTGTCTCACTCTGTCACCCAGGCTGGAGTGCAGTGGCACACTCAACGCCACCCCAGCGTCGACCTGCTGGGCTCCGGCGACCCTTTCACCTCAGCCTTCCAAGTAGCTGGAACTACAGGCTTGCACTACCACTCCTGGTGAATTTTTTTTTTAATTGTAGAGACGAGGTCTTGCCAAGTTGCCCGGACCGGTCTCAAACCCACGGGCTCAGGCAATCCACCCGCCTTGGCCTCCCAAAGTGCTGGGATTACAGGCTGAGTCACAGAACCCGGCCCCAGGGTTAACTTTTAAAATACACAAATACTAACTTGCAATTTAGTGAGTTTGCCTATGGTTTGAAACATCTTAACAATGAACCACATGAACCAAAAATACATATTTATAAAAAATTCCAAGAGATATTAATGCCTAAGATGTGGAATCTGAAGTTTTCAGTGCCACTTGTTTAAATGACCCTGACCACCTTGACTGATGGTTTCGGACTTCTGTCATCAGAAGTCCTTAGGCCCAATCTAAGCTCTGCTCCTGAATTGCCACGTGCCATAGAGATGACATTTGCATTCTCCAGTGTCTACTTCTATCTAAAAGTGAGGATGAGAGACTATTCAATCACTTTGAGCCCTAATTGTCTAGGAGCCTCTGTATCATTAGCTATGATACACATACACCAGGTTAGAACTTTTTGGTGTCTAGGCACATCTGCAAGGTCAGGTAGTCAGAACATAGGAAATTTTTGTTCATGGGCAGATACACAGAAAAGCATTCCAAGATTGGAACACCATCAAAAGGCAGTGAACAAGTTGAAAATACTGTAAGAAGAAGTCAATGCAGAATCCAGGGTCCATTGGAAGAAAAGATCTGTTAGGGCAAAGATTTGGGGATGTCTTTGTTGTGTGAGTTTGTTTTCTTGCTTACTTTTTTTTCCCTTCTGTACCTTAGAAGACTCCCTAGCACATAGCTCAGCAAATATTTATTGAATGAATAAATAAATCAAGATTGTCATTTTAGGTGGACATCAGGCATTGAACCACTGGAGAGCCAAGTGGCCAGGTTGGGAGCTGAGCTGTGGCCACTGGAGGCAGAGGGCTGGGTCAGAGTAAGACTAACTAGATACAGGTAGAGACACTCTTCAGAAGTCTTTCAAGGCCCCACCGGGTTTCTGGGAGATTGATCTTATATAGAATGACTAATGTATCAGGCACCTAACATTACAGTCACATTTGCCAGAGAAGGCTGTTGCATGGGGAACCAGGGAGAGCATTACCCCAAAGACACATGGGACTGGAATAATTCCATGAGGCAGGTACTATTTTTTCATATCCACTGTATAGAAGATAAAACTGCAAGTTTAGGTAACTGACCTAAGGTCACACAACTAGACACATACTCTCAGGATGGATGGTACCCTATTGCTTATTAGAACCAAGATCTGAAGTTCAGCTCCTTTGTGAATTTCGGTGTCTAAACACATATTCTCAGGATGGATGTACCCTATTGCTTATTTCTACCTTAAAGCTGTTCCATTCACTCCTCATGATGGCAGGCCCTGAGCTGGGGCTGGGAAGGCAGCACAGAAAGGGATAATGATCTATGGGCTCTGGAATCAGCAGAGGGACCTAGGTTGAATGGATAGTGCACGAGTTTGGGGGCAGCACCAGCATCTCCTAGGTGATTGTATTCTGAGATTTTGCCTAAGGAATTATTGCATTTCAGAAGACGAGACTGAGCCTACTTAATAGTCCATCTTTATATATTAAAGGGAGGTAATTGTATTCTATATGTATTAAAATGAGTTCTGTTATTTGCTAAATCGAATGGGAATAAACAATGTTAAGGCTTCGTTTTCAACACCATTATACTTTACCAACATTCCTGATCTTTCTGTAATGATCCCTATTTCATTTTGTTTCCCTTTAAATTTATAACTTGGCCGGGCTTGGTGGCTCAGCCTGTAATCTCAGCACTTTGGAAGGCCGAGGTGAGTGAATTGCCTGAGCCCGTGGGTTCAAGATCTGCCCCAGCAACTTTGTGAGACCTCGACTCTACAGTAAATAAAAAATTAGCCGGGTGTGGTAACGCGTGCCTATAGTTCCAGCTACTTGGAAGGCTAAGGTAAAAGGATCTCCGGAGCCCAGCAGGTCGAGGCTTCGGTGGCCAGAAGCATGCCACTGCACTCCAGTCCGGGTGACAGAGTAAGACTCCAACTCAAAAAAAAAAAAAAATTATAACTTAATTAATTTAAATAACACAGCTAAATTCAATACTATTTTTCCCCTGCCATCTTCCTTGACCTGGTTGGGTCAAGTCAGTTTCTTCCTTAGTCTATTCAGCGCAATACCTTTGTGTTGTTTTATACTCTGCTCTGAGGTCCCATTAGTAGCTAAATATCAAGACAGAAGTTCAGAAGAATACCATAAAGAAACATCATCTTGACCACCCCAATCTTGGATCCATCTAGTGACTTACCTTTCCCCTTTCCTGTTTTTCTGAAAGCTGCTGAGGAAACTCATCCCAACAGAAGTGATTTCTCTTTTTATTGTTGTTGTTGTTATTGTTATTTTTTATTTGAGTTAAGAAAGGTAGATTTGCTAAAGAGAAGATAACATTGTGACGGGCACAATGGGCTGGATGGCAGCAAAAGCGTCTGCTGTCTGCTGCCCAGAAGTGATTTTCTGTAGAAACTTTCCACTGCCTCTCGCAACTCCTATGCACGTGCTACAATTAATAAAGTATGAGTTCATTTGAAAACATTTTTTAATTCATAGCAGCTTTTTTCACTGTGTATTTCTTTAGGTCTGGGTCAGGGCCTGGCAATCTGCATTTTAAACTGCACCTCAAGAGATTTTGATTCATCAGAATTTATTGAATGCCTACTGTATACACTGTCTAGGAGGACAAAACAGCCAAAGACCCACGTGTTTAAAAAAACTCACATTTGAGTGGGGGAATTATGAAAATAGTGTCTCTAACACTGCACTAGGTGGATGAAGCTTGCCCTCACTGCAACAACCATATGCCAGGTCCTGTCCATCCTCAGCCATCTTCTTCTCAGCTCCCCACAGACATTTTTGGGGCTCTGCTATTTTTACTCCTTTCCTGAATCCTGCATCAGTTTCCATTGGTCTCCTCAGCATGGCACTGAGTAATCTCTGTAATCCCCAAATATGAAAATACCACGCCTCCTTTGCTTTAAACCCTTCAATGTCCCTGCATTACCTTCAGGGTGAAACCCAAGCCTCTAAATTGAGCCCCTGTTGACCTATGTAAACTTATTCCTCCCCCAACATTCCAGTCAGACACATTTCCTCCTCCCATTTCCTAAAGAGCCTTTAGACATGTGGTACTTCTTGAAATACCCTTTTATTTCCTGACCAGTTCTCTCATTTTCAAAATTCAGCCCAATACTTCCTTCTCAGGACCCCTCTGAGTGTCCTCCAACCCACAGTGGTCCCTTCCTCTCCCTGCCCTCCTGTTAGATCTCTACGGAGGTCTCTGCTGTCGCTGGATGTTATATCAAGCACTCCAGTCAGACTGGTTGCTTCCTATATGTAGGGACTGTGCTGTTTATCTTTGAATTTCCTGGACCTAGCACAACACCTGACCTCAGTAGGTATTCACCAAATATATATGCTGGATGGGGTAATAGTTTTCCGGTATCTGAAGCACACAATAACAACTAGCATTTATTCACATTTCTTTTTTTTTTTTTCCAGTCCTGACTGGAGTGCAGTGGCCACTCCCAGCCACCGCAGCCTCGACCTGCTGGGCTCCAGCAATCCTTCCGCCTCAGCCTTCCAAAGTAGCTGGAACTACAGGCGCATGCTACCACGCCCAGTTAATTTTTGATTTATTGTAGAGATGAGGTCTCGCCAAGTTCCCCAGGCGGGTCTTGAACCCTGCGAGCTTAGGCAATCCACTCACCTCGGCCTCCCAAAGCGTGGGATTACAGGGATTACAGGCTGAGCCACCGAGCCCGGCCTATTCACATTTCTTTTAGCTTAGAGTTTATCTTGATCTTACTAATGTTCTTATGCCACAGGTAATCCCCCTGGAAAATACCTGTGTGTGTGTGTGTGTGTGTGTGTGTGTGTGTACATGCACATGCCATCACGTGCTAGCAATGGGTGACGAGATGTTGTGGGTTCACTGTTAAGACTGCTCAATAACTCATCAACAAGGGTACCTGCATAATCAACATTTGTATACCTGATCCTGAATTGTACCCCACTTCTTTATAAGGACAAAATTTTTTAATTTTTAAAAAACTGCTCAATAGTTCTCAATGTTAATAACCAATAAGATTACCAAACTGGTTCTGCATACCATAAGTAAATGCAAATCTTTTGAAGAGGTAGTATTTTTGGCCTGCAAAGTGGATCTTTAAAAAATTTGTTTTGTTTTGGCAGATGCTTGCTCAGAAATCTGGCAATATTATCAACATGTCCTCTGTGGCTTCTAGCGTCAAAGGTAGGTCTGCCTCCCTCTGGGGATCATGGCACATATATATGGCCACACCTTACAAGCTATGGGTTTTGGGAGCAAGCATAGCAGAGATCATAAAACCCACATGTCATTTCAAAACCGCTTAATTCAAAGTAGACCTTTTGCTCTAGATGTGAGCCAGTGGTAAAATTAAATAAAAATTTGTTTTCTTTGCCTTCCTTTGTATTTCTTCTAATGGATCTGGAAGTGAGCATCGAACTGGGAGAAGGAAATATTTATCGCTTAATTAATTTAAAATGACGTATTGAGCACCTGTCCCCCAAAGAATTCACAGTCCAACAGGGAGAGCAGTCAAGGCAGGCAAGCATTGTCTTGCACTGTGTGATAGTGATGCTGGGTGGGATACAGAGCAAAAGTCTCCTCCCATCAGAAGTGGAGAGTTGTCAGTCTGCAGAGTGATGGTTACCTGGGCTCCACCCTCTTTAGCAGAATGATTATTGTGAAGGTATATCAGGCCTATTGTAAAAAGCAAAAGGGGCGGTTTCTCTTACCCATACCAGCTCTGGTATATCTCCCTTTGTTTCCTCTCTTCTTTCTCTAATAAACTTTGTTTTAAAACTTTGCTGCCCACTCTAAAATTCATTTTAGAAACAAGCCAAAGAATCCACGTGTTTTGTGCCACACCCCACCCAGCATCAATAGCACATAATAGAAGTTTGTATAAAGTGCTATTACAATACAGGGAAGTAACTCTGCCTGTGGGTTTGTGGAATGCTTCACAAAGACAGTTGATCTAGGCCATGAGTGAGAAGTCAGACTGAAGGAGCAGGATAGCAATGCAAAATGTAGTTAGTGTCATGTTCTGGCACAGATGGATGTGTGGATTTGAAACAGCTACTGCTGAGATAACATTCCTTCTCTTTACAAGGATACACACATTAAGCATGCAACAGAAGAGAATGTAAAGAAGTGCTTAGGATTCTTGTTTTATTTTGTTCTTAATCCTTGTTTTCTCTTGGGATCTGCCTAAGGTTTACCCCAACTGATGATGAAATACTAAGACTACTGATGTTAAATAAGTGTTACATTTTAATACCTCAGTTTCATTTAACTAGTGCCTCTGTGAATATTATTTTCCTAGATCCAGAACCTGGCCCTATTGAAGGAGAAAACTTGATATCAATTTTTTTTTTTAAGGGAAAGAAGGTGGGAGGAAGCATGAAAATGGCTACTGGGGAAACATATAGATGTTGCCTCTCTAAAAAACTGTTTTTGATTCCTGCAATTGTTGAACCTTGTCTTTACCCTCAGGAGTTGTGAACAGATGTGTTTACAGCACAACCAAGGCAGCCGTGATAGGCCTCACAAAGTCTGTGGCTGCTGACTTCATCCAGCAGGGTATCAGGTGCAACTGTGTGTGCCCAGGTGAGTTAGGCACTATCCGCTGTGAACTTGCTTTTTCTGGTATCTGCCACTGTGAAAGACCACTACATAATGCTTGTTTATTACATGTTACATGTTATCCCATCATTGGGAAAGGTTCCAAAGAAAAAGCATCTGGGCTTATTAATGTTACAGCCGGCCAGGCTCGGTGGCTCAGCCTGTAATCCCGCGCTTTAGGAGGCTGAGGTGAGTGGATTGTCTGAGCCCACGAGTTCAAGACCCATCTGGGCAACTTGGCGAGACCTCATCTCTACAATATATCAAAAAATTAGCCGGGCGTGGTAGCGCGCACCTGTAGTTCTAGCTACTTGGAGGGCTGAAGCAGAAGGATCGCCGGAGCCCAGCAAGTCGAGGCTGCAGTGGCTGGGAGCGGCCACTGCACTCCAGTCTGGGTGACAGAGTGAGACTCCAACTCAAACAAAAACAAAAACAACAACAACAACAAATGTTACAGCCACCAGGATTTTTATGCCCCTGCCCAGATACAGTGACACAGCAGTTGTTGCAATAGAGAAAGAATTTAATAATTGCAAAGCTGCTGAGCAAGGAGGACTGGATATATTGTTCAAATCCACCTTCCCAAGTATTTTAGGCTAGGGTATTTAAAGAATAATTTGATGGGCAGGAGGCTAGGAAAAAGGCACTGCTGATTGGCAGGGAACAAAGTCACAGAGGTGTCAAAAGTGTCATAGTGAGCAGAACCTGTCTCTAAGTGGCGGTCACAGGACAGTTGAGTCATTTCTTTGGTATAGGTTATGGGTTCAGGTAGGGTCCATTGGTCCACCAGAATGCAGTTTGAAAAATATCTCAAAACCAGTCTTAGGCTTGTGTTATCTATAGGAGCAATTGGGGAAGTTATAAATCTGGTGAACAACGGATGCGGTTGGGGGGTGGGGGGAATCCCCAGTGATTAAAGCTGCTCACTCCCTTCTGCCAGTTATGGTATCCTTGATACCATCAAGGAGGTCAGCATGACCTACAGCTCATTGTTCTTCAAAAGAAAAACAAGTTCTTTAATCTTACAGGCAGTACCAGGGACTAGGATATGCATGGAGGAAGAAAAAGACAAAGTGAAAGTCAAAATCTTATGATTTAGCTATACTTATATCCTAATAGAATCCAATTCTCGATTACAATTCTCACCTTGTAGCCTTTTATTCATTTTGTATGGGCCATTTCATTGAGATAACATTCCAGTTGTAAGTTGGGAAACCACTAACTTGAAGAGCAAAACTAAGTCATTAGGAATGAGCCACATATGCAAACAATTTAAATACTACTCATGTGTGTGGGGCAGTTCGTGTTTTGGAAGCAGACCAGGGATGACTTCATCAGGGAAAGGATATCAGGGGAGAGATGAAGAATAGACCATGCTCACAGGATAGCAGGGAGGAAGAAAGGGGAGATTCCCAGAACAGAGGGATCTACTAGAGTCATGTAAACCACCTGGGATGGCCCTTACATAAGAAGGAGGCCTTAACCTTCCTTTATGCTATAAAAAAGAAGCCAGCAAACTACAACCTCTGGGCCAAATCTGGGCCACTACCTGTTTCTTAAATAAACTTTTCTTGAAACACGTCCACACCGGATTTGCTTATGTATTGCCTGTGGCTGTTTTCATGCTACAATGGCAAAGTTTGAGTTGTCACAACAGATCAAATGATTCTCAAAGTAAAAAATATTTGGCCGGGCTTGGTGGCTCAGCCTGTAATCCCGCACCTTTGGGAGGCTGAGGTGAGTGGATTGCCTGAGCCCGCGGGTTCAAGACCTGCCTGGGCAACTTGGCGAGCCCTCATCTCTACAATAAATAAAAAATTAGCCAGGCGTGGTAGTACGCGCCTGTAGTTCCAGCTACTTGGAAGGCTGAGGCGGAAGGATCGCCGGAGCCCAGCAGGTCAAGGCTGCGGTAGCCGGAAGCGGCCACTGCACTCCAGTCAGGGCGACAGTGAGACTCCAACTCAAAAAAAAAAAAAAAAAAAAATTTGCTGTCTGCCTTTTTATTTTAAAAGGGTACCTGCTGGGCATGGTGGCACACACCTGAAGTACCAGCTATTCTGCAGACTGAGGCAGAACCATTGCTTGAGCAGGAGGTTGAGGCTGCCGTGAGCCATGAGTGTGCCACTACCCTGTAGCCTGGGTGACAGAGCGAGACCCTGAGTCAAAAAAAAAAAAAGAAAAGGAAGAAAAGTAGAACTTTCCTCTCTCTTAATAACTGGGTATATCTAATTTTCTTAATTACTGTAGGTGTGCCTATTAAACAGATAAGCACTTTTACCTTGTTGACCAAAGCAAAATGAATATAGGGTATCTAATAAAAATTACTAATGTCCTCTGAAAAGAAATGTAATGTTACATATCTAAGATTAAGGTTCTTCTCAGTAGTTCACAACTGATATTGGGGAATTGTAGAAAACAGCATTTCAAAATCACCTGTGGGACCCTTCCAAAGCTGAAGGGCAGACCAGAATTTAGAAAAGGAGTTGACGGAAAGAAACGTGTCACTAAGAAAGTCTCACAGGAGATTCTGATTGAATCTCAGATTGAAACCACTTACTTAAAGGGGAACGATTACATTTTCTTCAAGCTACAGAATTTTAATGATTAAGATGTTCTCTGTTTTTTAATAGAAAGGTAAACATAGGTAACACTAAGAAAAAGGAGGAGACTGGAAAGATAGTTTCACTAGGTTCTGATGTACATTCTGGTAATACTTGAGTCTAGCTATTTTTGGTACCATTTACCCAGTAGAATAAATGGCACAATTATTTGGAAAATATGTTTTTTTCAGCAACTAGATTTATCAGAAGATTGGAAAATATGTTATCAAACTCTTTGGAACAAGGAACTAGCTGTGACTCACTCATCCAGTCACAGAAGAAAACTTGAGGAGGAATGAGTATGTCTCTGATGGTTGTACAGTCACAAATCTCCAGCCAGGCTTGTGTAGACTATGGCATGGTATGTCTGTGCCATGAACACAGCTGAGTCCAGTGATAGTGAAATTCATCTGAAGGCATGGATTGCTCTACAGTTCTCATTTAATAGCCACTGGTATGAGCCATATGTAAGATATGATGTTCATTTACCTCAGTGGGAGGAAGCTGTTTTTAATGCAGCAAGGATTTTAACACTTTTAGTGAAAGTTCAAAGTGTATTTAATTGGTAAAATTTTGGACTTTATGGAGGCTGTTGATGAGGGAAGTGAGGAAAATATTATTGGAAAATAGATAAAATGGGATCTTTGCTATGTATTTTTAGAAATTTGATCAATACTGTTGCCTACAGTAATGTGAAGGTAGAAAATGAGCTGTGTGATCTAGCTAAGGGGATTTCCACCCAGAGTGTTAAAATACTGCCTGCTTATAGTAAAATGTGAGAAGAGAGAGATAACCTACAGAAAGGGCTCCAAAACAGAGTCAAGATTTCTGATTTTGAAGATTCCCAGCTTCTCCAGGACAATGTCAAAGATGCTAAAATTAAGAAATGGTTTCTGAGCAAAGATCAAATCTATGGCATTCTCTGGAGCATGGTCTAAAGATGAAGCTGAGAGTATGACTGTAAAATCATTTGTTACAGCCTGAGAAAGATCACATGATTTCCAAGAGTACTGTTCCATCTGAAAAAAGACCCTGTAAAGAGAATGTACATATTATATGTTAACAAAGAAGTCTGGGAAACTTTCTCAAGAAGAATATACACTAAGTAAGATTAAAAAATTCTTAGTGGTGTTCTTTTTCTTCTTTAAAGTGAAATAACTTTAAATTATATTTTTATTAGAAACTTGAATCAATGGTTAACATAAGAATTTTAAAACAATGAAAATAGACAAGGTGATGAGAAAAATTTAGAGCCACCTAAAATACCAAGGACTCTGGCAGTTATGGAGTTGTCCCCAAGAATTCCACAGTGAACTTCACAGCAAAAAGTGGCTTTGACATCATTGAGACAAACTGGGTCCTTGCTCTGGTAAAATGCTGTATGATTTTACCTACATCTCAAGGCTGTTGTGAGAATTAGCTAATACATGTAATAGTGCTTAAAATCCAAAAGCATCATATAAATACAATATGACTAAAGTATATGTCCTTGAGATGGGTGATTCACCCAGAGTCCCTGCCTAGTGTCACATCTATCTGCCTGTGCTTTAAAAAAAAATCATTAAAATGCTATTAAAGGACGTATAAGCCTATTAAACAAGAGGTCCGGCAGATAGATGTGAAATTGTCATTTTAAGCCAAGGACAAGGATTTCACTAATTATTGTATCATATGGAAAGAACACTTAAAGTTTAATTGCCAATTTATTTTTCAGTTGAAGTAAATAACCAAGCTGAATATCCCTTTTTGATTTAGGAACTGTTGATACCCCATCTCTGCAAGAAAGAATACAAGCTAGAGAAAATCCTGAAGAGGTATATGTAGCATTTTAAATGTGTTTCAACCTTTGGGTTAATAAATGACCTCTTCCCTACCTATAGTAGACAAATATATGGAGACTGGAAGTAAAATGGTGGTTGCCAGGGGGTGAGGTAATAGGGAATGGGAAGTTATTGTTTAATGCTTACAGAGTTTCTGTTTTCCGAGATGAAAAGAGTTATGGAGATGTATGGTGGTGATGGTAGCATGACGACGTGAAATGTGAACAAACTTAGCTCTATTGAACTGTACACTTAAAATGGTTACAACGTAAATTATTTGTTACCCGTATTTTACCACAGTTTTTTTAAAGAAAAAAAGTGCCCTTTCAAATCAGTTTTCTGATCTGTCATAGTATCTGTGAATTTTAGTGTAACACAAATTGTTTGGGTAGCTTGGGTAAAGGAATCACTATAATCCTGGTTGATGATTCGTCAAGGCAGCAAGTCAGGGGTTCCTCTTGCTTTTGACCCCTTGAAGGAGATACAGGTGAACACACATGTCAACTCACATCACTGATGTCTGGTATTGGCTCTGGTCACAGGCAATGAAGGACTTCCTGAAGAGACAAAAGACAGGAAGATTTGCAACTGCGGAAGAAATAGCCATGCTCTGTGTGTATTTGGCTTCTGATGAAGTAAGCACTATTCTTCCCTAGGATTTCATTATCTTCAATTACATGTGGCCATTTTAGAGAGTTTAAGTTCTGATTTAATTTGCTGAAAGAAGGCCACTTTGATAGGAGCCGCTGACTCTTCCTTTGTTTAACTTTATGTCTCAAAATCTTGTAGCAAATGAAATGGAGGACTGAAAAGTTAAAGAGCTCAATTCTTTGAGAGATAATTGCTTTCAAAAACTACAATGGGGGAAACTGATTAAGTGTCAGTGAAGCCAACAAAGGACTATGAGAGCTTCAGGTGCAACTAGGAAAGGATTAACCAGATTTAATTGTATCCAGGGGATGCAGAATTGGCTATAGTTTTGTTGTTGTTGTTCACTGGTGAATTGTTTGGGAGATTTTCACTGGCACTTTTTTCCTATTCTTTCTTGTTTGACACCATGTATGAAAATTCCTAATTCTATTTCTTCTACTTTACAGTTTTTCTTTCTTGGTTACTGTATGTTTTTAAGTGTCATAGAGCTGAAAGCAAAAAAAATGTTTTTAATGTACAGAGCATAAGAACATACATCTGTTTTGTGTCTCTGAATACTATATAAACAGGGAACTGTAATGTATGAGAAGGGAGAAGGAAAGGGAAGTAGGTGGGAGTAAGGAGGTGTGTTACTAATCAGTTAGCTCCTCTTTAAGGTAACTTGGTGCACAACAGGTGGTTGGTGAATGTGGCAAACATGGGTTGAAATGTTTTAGTAACAGCACTGACGTGTCAGAACTTCTCAGAACTATTGACGACAGTTGTTAATAGCTTGGGAAATTACTAGACAAATTACTATTATTAGAGACAGGGCCTCGCTCTGTTGCCCAGGCTACAGTACAGAGGCACGATCAGCTCACTGCAGCCTCAACCTCCTGGACTCAGATGATCCTCCCACCTCAGCCACCTGAGTAGCTAGAACTACAGGCATGCACCACCATGCATGTCTAACTTTTTATATAGACAGGGTCTTGCTGTATTGCTTATGCTGGTCTCAAACTCCTAACCTCAAGTGATCCTCCTTTCTTGGCCTCCCGAAGGGCTTGTATTAGACAAGTAATTAATGGAGAAACACTTTAGCCTTTGTGATTTCTCTGAATCAATATCTTCTAAAGAGCTTATTGGATTTGGGGCTACTGCTAATAGGTTAAATTAAATTACCCTTGTTTAGCTAGAGACTAGGTTACCAAATATTTGGAAATAAATGTGCATCAAAAGGACCTCTGGCTTTTTAGAGAGGTCCAGAGAAGTTCATATGTATAACAGAGAGCTCTCCTTTTAAAATAACTTAGGGAGCTGTGGTCATTTATTTGGTAAAGTAACCAGTAACCCTCTAGTTTATCTACTGTGTATTATCAGCTTTCATATACTGAACTCTTAAAATTTTGTACTCATTTGGTGTCCTTCCTTACTCTTCCACTGTTCCAGGATTTAGATGAATTTAGAACTATTTAAGCCTTCATCATCCATTTTAAGTTAAAACTTTTTTTAAAACTTCTTCCAAGAGGATCAGTCCAGGTTTAATTCTTTGGAAAGTGAAAAATTTGTGGAAATTATTTTTAAAATATTTTTTTAAATCCCTTATTTTTATACACATTGGATGTCTGAAACTAGTATAGAATATGTTTGCATAGTTTAATGGATTATAGTCATTGATATTATGTACGTAAATTTTAAAAACACGTTTAGTATGCTTCAGCTCCTGGAATTATATATATTGATCAACTAAATACATGGTCTCTTTTAAAAAAAATTTGGGAGAAAGACCTCGGGTCCGGCTCTGCGCCCTGGATTTGAATTCAGAAATAAACTTATTTCTACCAGAAAAAAAAAAAATTGGCATTAATATGACCAGTTTATGACTGGAACACATATATTCAAAAGTTTATCAGTGGCATAAAAGGTAGTTTTTAGTAGCTCTGAGTTTCAAAATGAAAATATGTTATTTTAGCCTACATTGTTATCCTAATATGAGGAATAGCTATACATCACCACTCCTTAATTTTGTAATTCTGAGCCGGGCTCGGTGGCTCAGCCTGTAATACCGCGCCTTTGGGAGGCTGAGGTGAGTGGATTGCCTGAGCCCGCGGGTTCGAGACCCGCCTGGGCAGGCAAGACCTCATCTCTACAATAAAAAAATCAAAAAAATTAGCCGGGCGTGGTAGTGCGCGCCTGTAATTCCGGCTACTCGAAGACGGAAGGACCGCCGGAGCCCAGCAGGTCGAGGCTGCGGTGGCTGGGAGCGGCCACTGCACTCCAGTCTGGGCGACAGAGTGAGACTCCAACTCAAAAATAAAATAAAATAAATAAATAAATAAATAAAAATTTTGTAATTCTGAAACCAAACACATAACAGAACCTGCTTAGAATGGGACATGTGCTCAGATGCCGGCAGAGGTCATTTAGTTCCAGGTCCCAGAACGCTCAGCAGTTCTAAATCATCTGAACTTTAATTTGAATTTTCCTATATTCATTTGTTAAGTGAGGTTTGCTTAGCACAAGAGTACATTGTTTAGTTATCCTAGTCATAGGCAAATTTAGAAAACCACAGCCTATGTCAAACCTGGTTAATTATTCTGTCTCCTTTTGTTTATCACTGCAGTCTGCTTATGTTACTGGCAACCCTGTCATCATTGATGGAGGCTGGAGCTTGTGACTTCAGGACATCCTTGGTAGGAAGGAAGACAGGCCCTTCCTAGCCACAGTGAACCTGGTTATGAAGAAAACTACTGATCATCTCTTTCCTGTTAATGGTGTATTAATGAAAACAAGCCCTTTATAATGATGTCATTGTTCTAGGAGTTTTGATTCTTCAAATATACTCATTTCTTTCTAATCTCTTTTTGAAATCATTGTAAGTGAATGAAATAAAAAAATATTGAACTCATTGCACGAGAATAGTTTTAAAAATAACCTCAATTTGTAAGCATCTGTCTTAGTTTGGGTTAGTATAACAAATTACCACAGACTGGGTGGCTTAACCAACAAACATTTTTTTTCTCCTGTCTGGAGGCTAGAAGTGCAAGATCAAGGGACCAGTATATACATGTCTAATGAGGGACCACTTCCCGGTTTGCAGATGGTCATCTTCTTACTGTGTCGTTGCACAGCTTGAGCAGTGAAAGCGAAAGCAAGCTCACCTGTGTCTTTGTATAAGGGCACTAATCCCATTATGATGCCTTCACCCTTATGACCTAATTACCTTCCAAAGGCTCCGCCTCCTAATACCATCATGTTAGGGGTTAGGGTTTTAATTTATAAATATCGAGGCCACACAAGCATCCAGTTGACAGCAGCATATAAAATGAAATTGTGAATATGAAGAAAAAAGGAAGATTTTTAAAGGAAAAATAACTTCTATTTTATCCTATTTTTTCTTTCTTTCTTTTTTTTTTCTTTGTTATTGTTTTTTGGACAGTTTTACTCTTTCACCCAGGCCAGAGTACAGTGGCACCATCACTGTAGCCTCGACCTCCTAGACCCCTTCCTGCCTCAGCCTCTCAAGTAGCTGGAACTATGGGCATATACCACCACACATAGTTAATATTTCTGTTTTTTTTGTAGAGATGGATTCTTTGTTACCCAGGCTGGTCTCAGACTCCTGGACTCAAGCAATCTTCTCACCTCAGTCTCCCAAAGTGTTGAGAAATTTTATCCTATTTTTCAACATTCAAATATTTGTGTCCACATTCTGCATTGTTCTGTATGTGGATCCTAATTTTAAAATTTTACACCATCATTAATGAACACCAAAGGCATGAAGGAGTTTGGCTTCAATAACTTACAGTAAAGGGAGTTTAGATTCAGAACTATATTGTTGCTATATGTAAAAGAAAAATAATAAAGTGTTTATATTTAATGAATGTCATCCTTTATTAATTAAATACTATTTTCTTAGTCTAACCAAACATCTTTATTAAAATAAGCAATGAACCGGGCTCGGTGGCTCAGCCTGTAATCCCGGCACTTTGGGAGGCTGAGGTGAGTGGATTGCCTGAGCCCGTGGGTTCGAGACCCACCTGGGCAAGTTAGTGAGACCTCATCTCTACAATAAATCAAAAATTAGCCGGGTGTGGCAGCGCACGCCTGTAGTTCCACTACTTGGAAGGTGGAGGCAGAAGGATTACCAGAACCCAGCAGGTCAAGGCTGTGGTGGCCGGGAACGGCCACTACACTCCAGTCTGGGTGACAGAGTGAGACTCTAACTCAAAAATAAAATAAAATAAGCAATGATATTTGACATGGGTCTCAGAAATATATAGTTTGAGGGATATTGTCTCAAAACATTGGGAGTTTGAAGGATTTTTTTTTAAAGTTGGAATCTCACTCTGTAGCCCCAGGTGGAGTGCAGTGGCACACTTACGGTCACCCTAGCATTAACCTGCTGGTCTCCAGGAATCCTTCCAGTCTTCCAAGTAGCTGAAATAACAGGCTCACACTACCCTGCCCAGCTAATTTTTTATTTATTGTAAAGACAAGGTTTTGCCAAGTTGCCCGGGCTGGTCTTAAACCCATGGGCTCAGGCAATCCAGTCGCCTCAGCCTCTCAAAGTGCTGGGATTACAGGCTGAGCCACTGAGTCTGGCCCAAAGGATTTTTTCAAAAATTAAGCACAGATTTCTTCACCAAGGATAACAGAAAAGAGGACATGACATTTTGAAATTGTCTTTGGATAAGGAAATATTAATGAATTATGTAACAGTTAGGAAACAAATGAAATTAAAGACAATAAAATTTTCAAGAAAAAGTTTAAGTAAATTTATGGATGATAATTCTATAACATTATTAGAGAGAAGTTTTTCTTTTTATTTTAATTTAAAGGTTTTATATTTGTATTTTATTTATTGCAGCAACAATAAATGATGCACATAAGGATACTCAATATGAGCAGTTATCCTTAGCATGTTTTCCTAGAGTCTTAATATTAACAGGGAAAATTTTGAAATGAACAATGAAAGGATAACATTTTATGCATAAGGAATAATATCATGGAGTTGAAGAAAGTGAATTAAAATTCACAGCAAAGGTTGTAGATTCAAAGTCTTGCCAATTTGCCCTGGTGGGTCTTGAACCCGCAGGCTCAGGCAATTCACTCGCCTCAGCCTCTCAAAGTGCTGGGATTACAAGCTGAGCCACTGAGCCCAGCCAAGATGGCTTTCTAAAGATATATCACTGGCCAGAATTTTTGAGTTACAAGGGCCACTCCAGAGATTTCTTTTAGAAAACAGTACCACTGACAGCACATTTCAGTGACACAGAATGGGTTCTAAGAATTGCTTGCTTGTGTGACATATTCACCCTATTCAATGAATGCAATCTGTCATGTCAGGGAGAACGACAACTGTTTTCAAGTTGGCAGAAAAAGTGGCTGCATTCAAAGCCAAACAGAAATTATGGGAGTGACAAATGAACACTGGGATTTTTGATGTTTCAAACATTAGCAGAGATTTTGAAAGATAATGAGCCAGGGCCTTCTTTCTCCCAGCTGGTGCATGATCACCTATCTCAGCTTTCAAAAGAGTTTGAGCATTACTTCTCAACCACAAAGACCCCCGCACTGGGAAGGAATGGATCCATGACCCATTTGTGAATAAACCGGGGGTGAACTGATGTCCATGCCAGAAGAGGATCAATTGCTTGAGATCGCAAATGATGTTGGCCTTAAAAGTATGTTGGAGATTTCAAATCTCCTTATATTTTGGATTAAAGTCAAAGTGGAATATCCTGAAATCACCATAAAAGCACTGAAAAACCTGCTTCCATTTCCAACATCCCATCTTTGTGAAGCAGGGTTTTCTGCAGTGACAGCAACCAAAACGAGATTATGTAGTATACTGAACATAAGCAACACACTTCGGATGTTACTGTCTCCCATTACCTCCAAATGGGACTTTCTAGTTACAGGAAAACAAGCTCAGGGCTCTCACTGATTCTGCATTATAGTGAGTTATATAATTATTTCATGATACATTACAATAATAATAGAAATAAAGTGCACAATAAATGTAATGTGCTTGAATCATCCCCAAACCATCTCCTCCCCATAATCCACGGAAAAATTGTCTTCCACAAAACTGGTTCCTGATGCCAAAAAGGTAGGGGACCACTGTTCTGAGAGAACCATAAACTATAAAACATTATCAACATTACAAGCAGTAAGAAACAAAGTCTAGTCAAAAAATTCAATGTTCTCCAAAGTCATATTAGTCAAATCAGGTGATACATTGATGAAGATCATATGACTGAAAGAAAAGGAAAAATATGTTTCATTCCTTTAGTAAGAGGAAGCTGGATTTCCCCAGATGTTTTTGCAAACTTTAGGAGAGGAAGAGTTCGGTTTAGGAAAAAAGTCATTTCAGACACTCTGAAGAAGAAATTAGACAGAACTAGATTCATCCCAGGGGAGGACCTGAGCGATGAAAATGAGTGGTTTCTGTCCGGTGAAGAAATTTAGTTGAAGATAAATTGCCTGAAAAGCGCTGATTGCTTAAAGGAGTAAAAAACAGGTAAGGGGCGCGCGCGCGCGCACACACACACACACACACACACACACACACACACACACACAATTATAGGGGGAAATATAGAAGAAAGGAAGACACAAAAATGGAATTGAGAAATAAACAGAATCAAACTACTGACAGAAGGATTAAAATCTAAAACAACACAGCTAAACGGACAAGTGTTAAAGGAGCGATAAAAGGGGCAGAACAGGTATTTTATCCGGCCATTTAATTGGTCACACGAAGTGAGAATCCTCTTCCCACCACACCTGAGAAGACACTTCTAAAAAGCACAACTAAAAGGTGGAGTACAAACACACTTTAGACTTTGGTTTGGGGAAGAATGAGGCCAGTGGCTCTAGCAGAGCCTGCGCCCCAGGCTCCAGCGCGCCGCGCTTCCTGCGGAGCCTCGCCAGCGCGGGGGAGACTGGCGCCCTGCCGCGCCAGCTTCCCAAAGACGCGTTCGTCCCGGCAGGAGGGTCCGTGAACCGACAGGTGAGAACCAGCAGTGGAAAGGCCGCAGGGGGCCGCACCGAGGTCTCGGGAAGTGGGCCGGGAGTCGGTCTGGCGCAACCTGCCCGCCCCGCGCCTCCGGCTCCGCACACCCTCCTGGGCCCCAGCTGCCCGCCCCGGAATCAGCGGGGGGCGCATGCGGCGGAGCCCTAAACCGAACCAGCGCCGCGGGGGCAGACCTCCCGGCGTTGGACGTGCTTGAC